ACCATGATGAGACCTGTACACAGGCTTTCCCATAAATTACTGTGACTGGAGTAATGAGTAAACAGCCTGCTTAGGTACTTTAGACATATCTTAGTATAGGGGGAGGGGGGAAAGGAAGCACTTCACTTCTTTTGTGAATTAAAAACAATTTAGCACTGAGAAATGGCATTTCTAGAATAGATTGCTGAAGGTGACAATAGCCAAACCACATGCATAATTTCTCAAGAGGCATCTATACAGATGAGCTAGGTGAAAAATAAATCACTTTGGCTTGCTGGATCTGTGCAAAAGTGAGAGTTCTAGTTCTGCAGTATGGGGTTGTGTGGGACTGTGTGCTGATTCCCGTGGATTTTTCAAGCAGGAGGTGTATGGAGGACAGCAGCAGAGAGGGTGACACAAAAATCTTTACAGGACTCTCCATTTCCTGAGAACTTGTGAACCCGTATGTAGGGATTGAAGAATTCAAGGACTGAGTCCTGAGTATTAAAGATCCCTAGCTACTTAACTTCCATTGAATTTGACAACTTCAGCACTTTGAGTGTGGGCCCAAGCTTGAAGAAAGGTACAAAGTGGAGGCAGAACATGGAGCTGGACTCTGCTTTCTAACTGGTTTGCCACTCAGTTTCATGCCAGTGCTGTCCTAGGCTCTGCAGTGATAACAACACTGAGATGCTGCTATACAAAGTACAGGTGAAGATTACACATAGTACTTAGAGGTGAGGGTTATATCTTTGGTGAGTGAGGATTTGTCAGGGAATTTTACATAAAGGTTTAAATTTTAAACAAAATTTGAAGCTCAAACTGAAAGGGAAAGCACCTTACAAGTCACAGGTGTAAACTGTCCTTGGCCTTGACATGAACAAACCACAGTGCAGATGACAAATTTTTCATCTGTGATGAGGCAAAAGCTGTGTTGCCTGTGCTGGGAGTTGTACAAGGAAAGTATTGCCCAGGTCTGTGCAAATATTTTTTCAAATATTATTTCTATATAGTAAATTAAGTAAATTATTCTCAAATGAGTGTTTATCCTAGGAAAGTATTAAATCTCTATTTTAACATCATAAAGACATGAAGGCATCTCTTGTTAACCAAGAGATAGGGGTGGTAATTCAGTGGCTGCTGAATGCTCAGAAAAGGTACCAGAATAACTGTGTGAACCATTGCTGCTATGACACAAATACATAACACAGCAGATAAGCATATTACTAATGTGGATAGCTCTCTGAAAATATGCTGAATGTCCAGAATATGGCAGTGATTGGAGCTACAGGTATCTGTACATATACATGTCAATTATCTCATATGGCTGCATATGTTCACAGTGCAAAATGAAGTGCAAACATATGCAATGACCTGAGACCATGTAAGTTAGGGTCAGACCCTGCCGCTGTTCTGCAGGAAAAGGATTGCTTTCCTGATGAGTGCTCTGATTTTCTCAGCTTTAAATATTTGCACAGTGATGAGCTATTTCATGTGCTTAAAGGCAGTTGATGCTGGGAAGCAGCAACTTTCCCTGTTAGCAACTGCCTACAAGATTTTAAAATGAGATGTCCTTGCCTCTGCTGGCTGCGGTGGCCCGGAGGAGGGCAGTGTGAATTAGGCAAAGGCAGCAGAGGTGCAGCTCTGGTACCTGAGAAGGATGTCAAGCTACCACATCTTCTTTTTTAAAGCATTTCAGTTGAGCAAAATTTACTGGGCAATCATTTTTAAAAACAATGGGCCAGTTCAATAAAAAAAACCAAACCAAACTCCTATAGAAATTTATGCGACAAAAAAAGTAAGAGCAAGAAAAGAGAAGAATGTGGTCATTAACTAAGACAAAGAAAAAGAGCAAGCTCAGGCTGTATTGCAGAGAGACTGGTTTGCTCAAGGTTCAAATGTTTGGTTCAACAGTAAAGCTGCCAATACTCTGCCAGGCACGAGGTTATAGAGCTAACAGTAAGGGTTTGAATGGGATACACGTGTGAATACACATGTGCATACAAGGACTACTACTGCTGCTGACTGAGGTGCTTCCCCACTCACAAGCAGAAAGCAGAAAGGCCCCTGTAGCATGGACATGTACCTGGACATGATTGGGGTGTGCAGTGTTGGGAATTCCCCTTCTGAAGCTTAGGACAGGCTGATGCCAGTCCCCTTTTCCTGGGACTGTTCTGGCAGACTTCTCCTTTGGGCTAAAAGCTTGCTTTATGAGGCCTGAAGGTATCATGCTGGCAGTCATGAGCCATGAAACAGGCCACACAGGACCTATGAAATGGTGATGTCACACATTTATTATTCTACCTCTTTGGGGCTTACTGATGTCCATAGATAAACTAGTAGAAAAATTGCTGAGAACTATTTTTTTAATTTATGCTTTAAAGGTGTATCAGAAAGCTTTAGCTTCTACATCTTATGGTTGTTGTTACTGAAGTGGCCATGGGCCACTCCCCTCCCCTGGCTAGCATTTTATACACACAAGGAAAAGAAAGAGCAGCACATGCTGAACTTTGCTCTGTAAATTGCTCTGTAAATAACTGCTGCTTCAAATATTCCTTCTCCCCTCCTTCTAAATTACATTTCTGGAATTATTCAAAGTTACTTATGACCTTTTAGGGAATGGGTCTTAATGAGCAGAGGCACTGAGGGTGACAATGGGCACTTAGTGCATAATTTGAAGGACAAAGCTCAAAGCAGGCCAACAGCAACATAGCAAATTTACTTGTTCTCATTTTCCAATGAGATATTTGTAGCGTAAATAGTTAAAATAAAATGACATTTTAGGTCAAGATGCTGGCTAATCAGGTAACACTAGGTTATACTGTGTTCATGAGCTTGAGGGAAGTGGTGGTAATGGTATTGGCACTCCTAAACCTTTTTTTTACTGATTTGCAGAAGGATTTTGTATTGCAACCACAATGCAACCATGGTGTTTCCTAGATTTTAGGACCTCTTCTGTAGTCCTGAATGATTTCACTGGTACTGCTATCAATTTTATTTCCCCAACATAATTTAGGGCTTTGTTTTAGTTTTAGATCAGTACAGCAAGGATCTGCATCCATTCAATGCATTTACAATTAAAACCATCAGAGTTGGCTGCTTTGAATATGGTTTATTATTCTGATTTTTGTCATTGTCTAATTAATGTACTGCTTTAAAAGCAGCTCTGTATAGATGCCAAATAAAAACTTTAACACAAAATGTAACCACACTTTCACTCTACCTAAAGATGTATAAGAAAGACATGGCAACAGAAATCAAACTGTGCTACTACTCTCCCAGATACCAAAGCATAATCTAACCTGTCCCTGAGGAATTATTAAAAGTGTTGGGGGAAAATTGACAATTGAAAACATTGTTAAATTAGTAATTCATAAAGTCAGTTTAGGTGGTAGAAAAGAGCTGTTTTAACAGAATTTTTATGTTCTTTAAACAATTTAGCAAAAGGAACTTTTTAAAGAAAGAGAAACAGCATGACTGGCACAACAGAAAGTTACGGGACAAATACTCCCCGCACAAGACTAGCAGGTGACAAATGGGAAGTAGGCAATGGAGGGAAAAGGCAGGAGGATAATGTCAGACTCTTTGTAAACAAGCAGCTTGGGAGATGGCTGTTCAGTGGAGCTTCTTGGCTCCCTCTGTTTTTCCAGGTTTAAGATGCTAAAAGCAGTTAGTTTTGCAAAATCCAGGCCTTACATAAAGAGGTGACATTCTGAGGATGCTTTGGAGCAGGGACTGAAGCTGTATATTTAGTTGGCATGCACATTTTAAAAACCTTGGGAGAACAGCATTAAGGGGTCACCCAAAAGTAAAATCAACTAATTTTCAACAAATTATCAACAAATTATATAGCATGGGAGTATGAGATGAAATGTCCTAAGGGCTGTGACATAACTCGTGCAGCAAGATAACCCTTGCTTTGTATAGTGTGAAAAGCATCACATATGCATTTGACAACACAATAGTCAATCCTCCCCCTTCTCCTCCCTCTTACTAATAACAGCAAATTGCAATAGTCCCAATAGGAGTGCTGCATGGAGGGGGGATGTACCTCCATGAGGATCTGTCCTTTTCTATTTACAGCAGCAGACAAGAAATGAGAGAGAAACAGAAAATATACCTCCCTTTCATACCATTTTCCATCTTGCTTCAGCTCCAAGTGGAGTGATAGGCTACATTTAACAAAGGTGATAAGGGTGTTCCTGGCTACAGCAGCTCTACATAAACAAACATAAATTTCCAGTAGAATAACAGCTGCAGTGGTGCTTAAACTGGAACACTTTACTCTGCTTAGTTGAATGCTGGATACTGGCACATGCTGGTATTTGCTGTGGTGTGTCTTCCCCACAGCTTCACAGGAAAGAGCAAAACAAACTTCCCTTTTGCCCTTAGAGGGAATTAGGTATGTGGCAAAATGCTCAGCTGTAGGCATAGGTGAAGAGGCAGCCAGGGTGGTGTTGCAGAGAGGGCAGTTTGACAGTGCCATTTCTCTCCATAAGAGCAATGAAAGGATGAATAGTCTGTGCTTGGTTCACCCATTTTAGACCTGGGATTCTTTAGCTACTCCAAATGTGACTACAAAGGCTCCTCTTGAAGCAAAATAAATTTCCACTTTCTCTAGTGAGCAACACATTTACTTACTACAATAACCTTTAGTCGGCTATCCTCTCTCATGCCAATTTTTGAAGGGAAGGTGTTGCCCTAAAAAATGTCACCTTCTTACTTGTCCTACAGCCCCACCTTTTCACTGACTTGGATTTATTTATTTATTTTCTAAGTTAAATAGGTTTACTGACCTGGTTTGACACCCCCATGACAGTTGCACTCACAGCTAATTTCAAGTGTGGAAGTTCTGCTGCAGTTTCTAGTGGCTCTCACTGCTGCAAGTTTGAATTAAAATGAAGGTTATGAAATGCACCTCTTCTAGTAGGAGCCTGGTTTAGGGACAGGTTCTGGGACCATGCCAGATCCTCTAAACAGACTCATGCTTTGCCTCCTTTGCTAGTGTGAGTGAGGGACACACAGTCTCAGGTGGATAGACAATACAAATTGACAAGCTCGTTATTTCTTAACTTCTCACCAACAAATAGGCAATTAATGAACCCCAAGTACTTCTTTGCTGTATACCTTGAATGTCTTCTGCCCTTTGCAAGAGAGCACAGCTTGGTTTAAATGATGATATCGTAGACTCGGCCCACTCTTCCCAGCCATTCCCGGACTGCCTGGCGGACACGGATATCTGTCACGTGGCAAGTTAGCTGGCTGATACAGGGAAACACAGCTGGCTGCAGGGCTGTGAAAGTTTGGTCTGGCAGAGCCTGAATCTGGTTAAGAACTGTCAGCACCATGTTGGTCCATGCCTACAAAGAAATTGGATTTAAAAAACCTCTTTAGAAGACCTTTCTAAATAGGTGAGCCCAGTGGTTGAGGCAGAAAATAAGGTATCTGGTGGCTGCAGCCTCATGAAGCAGACTGAGTAATGCTAGCATATTTATTTAATGTTCCTAAATCACTTGACTTTGTATTGCAGGTATCCTGCTCTCCCTTTCCTTTTTTCTTTGTCCCACAGTGAACAAAATCTGTCAAGTTTGATGCTTTCACTGATTTGTTCACTTGGACATGCAAAGAACAAGCTTCTGTTTAGCAAAAGAATCCATTATTTTTCTCTGGAATTAACAAAAAATCCCATTCTTAAGTACAAAAGCAATGTGACAAGCAGCATAGCATTTTCAAAAGCCTTCAGCGGGCTACAGCCCATAGCAGTAAGCAATGAGTTTGCTGTAGGTTGTCAGCTCTCAGGATTAAGTGCAGCTTTGGCCCCAGTCATAGAAGCACTCTCGACAGCTGTACTAGTATATGCCTGATGACACCTCCCTGAAAACTGACTTTCTTTTAATAGGGCAGAATCAGGTTTTTATTAATTCCAGATCCTAAAGATTCAGTCCTCATCACGAGGACTTCATAATATAATAAAATATTTAACAAAAAAAATTTATAATAATGTAAAAATGTATAGGTATGTTTTTATTTATTGCTATTATTATTAGGCTTCTACAAGAATGTCCTACCTGTATCTGGGCCTCTGCATCCCTAATAGATATATTCAGGGAGCTGACTGTGGATCCTGAACGGGGTCTCTTCTCTTGTCTCAGGATCTCTGGACCAGCACTGAATGAATGCCTCATTTGACCTTGATCTAGAAGATGTTGAGGCCGCTGGAGTACAGGTGAGTCAGGGCCTCTTGAACCCAGGAGTTCCCCTTTCTTTTCCATTTTGACCTCTTTGGTGAAGGATGTCATGGCCTGTTGCTGCTTTCTCTTCTTGTATTCTGTCATAAACTTGGAGATGGTTTTGTCAGTGGCTATGGTGTAGATTTTGTTACCAGCACTCTCCCACCATTCTTTTTTCTTGGTTTGCTCTTTTTTTTCTGGTTTAGGACTCAGGGGAGGGGGTAGCAGCAATATTTCTCCACTCCCTCCTCGAGGTGTCAGGCTGTCTCCCAGCTGGTCCCTGATTTGGCTTCGGTCATCTTCTGATGGTGTGTCCTTTCCAGACAGCCCTCCAGTTGATGGCGTGGAAGTCTCTGAGTGAAAAGATGGTAAAATGAAGAAAGAGTCACCTTTGAACACTGGAGGCTCCTCTACATTGTTCTCCAGGTCCAGGTGCATTTGGATGTAGTTGTTGCACAGTTCCATGCAGAGCTTGTGAAGCCGCTTGATCAGCCACCCCCAGTCTGCATTGCTGACCGGCTGCACGCTCAGAGATGGGATTCGAGCCCTCCACTGCCTCTTCTCCTTCCCTCGTGGGGGACTGACCTGGGCAGTTTCTTCAAAAATGTCTTCATCTTCTGAAGAACACTGCTGTGATGAATCTGTGCTTCTCTCATCATCTTCAAAGAGGATCTTTTTCACTTGTTCTGCAGTGATGTTCTCCTGGTTTGTCAGGATTGCACAAACCAAGGCATGGAAGTAGATGTTGAAGCTCATTGCTGACTGGCGATAAAGATTGGCAGCCCCACCAATGCCAGACACTTTTTTCAACAAACACTTCAGCCCAGGTCTGGTGTCAAACTCTCTGGCTGTTCTGTAGGAGTCCAGGAGTAAGTCAAAGATGACAGCCAGGTTTTGCATGGAGATGTACCTGAGAAAACCAGCCAACTTGTTTTCTGGTACTTGTATTGCCATTTTCTCCTCCAAGTTAGAAGGGCCTTTCACAAATTCTTCCAGTAAGATGTCATATAAATTCTGGAGCAGCACTTGGTGGGACAGCAAGCTCACCACTATTGTCCTGAAAGGAATACTTGGTAAACCAAGCATGGAGGGAAAAAAATCACAGAATATTAAAATGGTGCATTGTGGTTGTACTAAGAGTAAAAGCACACTCAGATATTTCAGCCTGCTATATCTGAGGAATTTATTAACACACAAATTATTCTTCCACCAGCATGTCAGACAACCTTTAATTTGCCATGAAAAATTGGGGCCAAAACTAGTCTACTACTCAGTTTCCATTTCCACTAATGCCCAGGAGTACTTCTTAAAAAGAAACCATGAAGAGGTATCCAACCAATAAAGAAACATGTACAGAAACATCAGCAGTGCAATGCAGCATGCAAAGAAGCTGAAGTCTGGCTGAAGGCACATTTCACTGCTTGCTCTTAAGACTTCAACTTGAACACTGAGAGCCTAGAATGGTCTTATCGATTCCTAACCCTGTTCCTCACGTATGATATTGGGTGATTCTTAGCTGTGCTCCTGTTAGAGAGATGCTGGGAGTTGTTTTAGCCCTCACTGATGTTTGATTTGCACAGGGGACACAGGAATGGCAAATGCCTCTGACCAAAGTTTTCAGGTCTTTCACCAGTAAATAACACTGACAGGCTTACAGCCAAGCGAGGCTTACAAGCAAGCAAGGCTTGGAAAAAAGACAGGATTGTTGTTTGGTATCTCATGGATTTTAAATTATAAACCTATCTTAAGGTCTTTTAAAAAGGTCTTTATGTAAGATTACAGGGCAATGTTCTAAATGAAACTGATGCACATAATAATACTTGGTTTGATGTGATGGGTCAAGTTTTAATTAGCACAGCTATCAAGTAAGGAAGAGATTTTTCAGTTTTCTTCCAGTACTGAAGTTTTAGGTCTAATTCAAAGCAAATCTTCACAGAACATGAGAAGTTCAGTTGTAGATCTTTGACTTTTTTGTTGCAAAAAATGATTCTGCTTTCATTAAACAACTTTCAAAAGTGTTTGGGAATACCAAGACAAAAAGCCAATTTTTTTTTTTTTTTGAGAAATTCTATCAAAAGCCAGTTTTGAGAATACAACATTTCAAAAAAAGTTCAGGCAAAACTGTTATTCAGTTACATTCCCTCTGTCACTTTGCCTACCATGACACAGCTGATACCTCAGTAAAATGTAGTAGTCTTATTATTTGACAGTGATAAAATGTTAATTATTAGCACATAGAGTCGAGCTCTTTATGGGGAAGTAGTTTTCTGCTGTAAAAATCATTAGAGCTCTGACTCAAAAAAGCTCTTAAGAGCATGTAAAAAGTTAAATAAGAGCTTGCAGTGATTTCAAGCAACTAATCCTGTTTCAAAAGCAGGGTCAGGAATGAAGGAGATCTGCTTTCCTCGTAATAGCCAAAAAAGCAATTTACAAGGACTGTGTGAAGTACTGCTCAATCCCAAAAGAAACTGGTAGAGAACTACAGGTGAAAACACGATGCCAAAGCTGGTTAAGGATAGTATTTTCTTACTCTGTCCAAAGTCTCAAACTGAAACATGTGATTACTTTTCAGGAAGAAGAAAAGCTCCCTTACCCCAGCTTCCTGTGAAACGATGCAGCATTAAGGAAACAAAACCAAAAGGGAGAAGTGAAACCCTGCTAAGGTTAAAGCAAAACTTTTGGAAAGGCCACATTTACTATCATGCATGATTGCCATATTACTGCACTGCTGTAGCAAATAATATGAAAACAGTGGCACAGTTAACTTGTGAGCTGTGTTTTGGTGAAAAAACAAGCATTGCTGGGATAACACTTGGCTATGGGCATATACACCTTTAGCAGTAGGTTGGATAAAGCGCAGTGTGAGAGCATTCAGAGTTTGCATTAATTGCAAGCTTTATTTATTTGTTTAAAGACAAGCAAGACCCTTGCTACCCTTACAGTCACAGCCTGTTAGATTGCATGGCCTCAGGCGCTATGAGAGGTGACTATTCCAGTCTTTTGCTTTGCATTCATAGTAAGAAGAAGAATGACCTGCTAGCCTTTGGATAAAGTAGATATTTTCCCCTATAAAGGAATGATTTAACCTGTGACCTCAAGCTTTCTTTGTCTCTGTGCAAGGCCCTGTTCTATGATGGTGAAGCAACAGAGCACCTGCTATCAGGGGAAAACTTCTGTACAGCAGTGTAAGAATAGAGACAACTTGCATGGTCTTTCTTCCTGTCCATCCAAAGAAGGACCATCACATTCTGGCTCCTTGTTGCAAGCAATAGTTTAGCTTTGAATGGTGTAAACCCATGTTTGGTATCTCATAAAAAACAATTTCATGCCATTACACACCTTGCAATACAAACACAAACCCTGAATGCAGAATTCTGATTCTTGGCCCAAATGATGGTACAGCAGTTGTTTAAACAACCACGTGCAAGCAAAAGGAAATATTCTTTCACAGGATCAGACTGTAGTGCAAACAGATGAGGTTCTCAGGTGGTAACATAACAGAAAGACTTCCACAAAAATAATGCCAAGCAAAAAAAACCTTCCCTAGCTCAATGTTGACAGCTTTGCAGTTTTGGATGTCGTCTCTTCAGTTTATAATGCCCCAGTTCTTTTTCTACCTTCTTAACCAAGTAATACTGAATTTAAAAGACCCTTAGTGAAGCAGACATTGCATTTGCTAGCTATCACTAAAACTGCAACAGTGTCACAAAACCTAATTTGATCAGTGTACTCGTTTTTGTTGATGAGCCCTATGGAGAGGTATGATTTACCAGGCTCAGTTCACACCTCTTCCTGTTCAGCAATATTTTTATCTTGCTTTTAGTGACACAGTGTTTTCCTTGGAAGATATTTTACCTTCTCTGGTTATGCCCATTTGGTTTCTTTTCTGGTGGCAGGTCAATGATGAGCACACACGACTGGGCATGTTCAAACCCTTCCTTGTTGCTAGGGGTTTTTGGGGAGCACTGAGTCTCCAGCATGAAGACCTAGAAAGCAACAAGTTACATAAAACAATCAGTTTAGCACTTGCAGTGGGTCTGGGGTGGGGGAAGGGCTGGGAATAGGATTTCCTGCAGTGTGAAATATCTGTCATTCTGAATAATTTTACAGTGATAGAGAGAATGCAAGGTATCCCCCCAGGCAGACCTTTCCTGGAGTATTCTACTTTGGTAAAAGAGCAATGGGCTGCCTCCAGACATCCAGTGGGGTGCAGGGCAAAGGCCAGACATATTTTTCTTTGAACCTGTATAAGGCATAACACGAAATGCCAAACCAAGCTTTCTGCTGTCTGTATGCTTCTATCTGAAAGTACCACGTACAGTGGAGACAGGGACCTGTCTGCACAGTTAGCCAGTTGCACCTAGAAAGGTTGGTTGTTAGAAGGATTATTTTCAGCCACAACAGACACCTAATACGCAACCCTTTGGGGGAGTGCTGTTATTTAACAACAGACAGCAACTAAATACCAAGCAGCCACAAACTTACCACACCTCACACCCCATCCCTCTCAAGGATGGGAAGGGTAATCAGGGAAAAAAAGATAAACCCCGTGGGTTGATATAAGAGTGGTTTAATAATTTAAATAAAATATAGTAGTATCAACCACCACCACCACCACACAAAGGGAGGCAACAACAACAACAACAACAACAAAAAAAAAAAAAAAGAAAAAAAAGAAAAAAAAAAAGAGGGAACTTGAACTTGTACAGTACAGTTGCTCAGCACCCAGTGACTGATGTCCAGCCTGTTCCTGAGCAGCCCCCTGCCAGACAACTGCCCTCATTTACACACTGAGCATGACACTCTGTGGTATGGGATATCCCTCTGGCCAGTCTCCATCAGCTGTGCTGGCCATGCTCCCCCCAGGCTTCTCCAGCCCTCATTACTGGCAGAGGATGGAAAACTGAATGGTCCTTGACCTAGTGTAAGCACTATTCAGCAACAACTAGAACATCATTGTGTTATCAACATTATTCTCATACTAAATTCAAACCACAGCACTGTACTAACTACTAGGAAGAAAATTAACTCCATCCCAACCAAAATCAGTTCAGTGGGAAACAGGGAAACAACTCTCATTGCTGTGGCTTTCTTTTGTAGCTTCATTGTTGTAGCAAATCCTCACTGTGGAGGACTCAGGGAGTGCCACTGATAGGGTCTACAACAAAAGTATTAATGTTACAGTCCCTGCTTTCTTGAGTTCTGCATCTTTAAAACTTAATTTAAAACACATTTTCTATTCAAACAATGTCTGCCACTACCACATTATTTGTGATCATCAGTCCTGGTCTGTGTGTCTCAGATTTTCAAGCAGCATCAGAGTATGATTTATCAAGTCAGAAATTGACACCAAACATCTGCTGGCTGTTTTAATCTATCTGCTTTCCCAGGCTGAAACTGTCATATGGTATTTACAGTTTTATGGTACCCTGCAGGTCATTAAGTTCAGTCTGCTGTATTTCAAAGAACTTGTTTCATAGAACCACTTTCATAGAATGAATAACCTTCACTGTTGTCAAAAGAACCCTAAGAAGGTTCCAAGTTTGTTCTGCTGATTCTGATTAGGAGTTAGTGAATCATTTGTTAAATGTCAGCATTATCCTCTAGTTCCCAGGAACCCTTTTACTTCTTTGCAATCTACACCTTAGGTATTTATAGAGAAAAATGCATGGATAGGTTAATCAAATCTTGTTTTCCTATTTTCATATCACCATCTCTGTTCTAGTGCAATTTTTGTCCCTTCAATTTATCATTCTTTAAAAGAGTATTCAGAAATCTATGTGACATTCTTGATGTGGATTCACAGTGACACTACTATTTCCCTTTCTCTATCAGAAACATCTCCACTGATGTATGCGATCCTGGCAATTTTAGAAATTACATTACACAGTAGGCTCATTGTCAGTCCTCTCTAGATACCCATGCATTTTTTCCCACCCTAGTAATTTAAAATTCCTGTTTACAGGGTGACAGTTCTGATGTTTCCTTTTTTTTTTTCCTAGTTTTCGTTAATTTTTCTGAATACTACTATAAGACAATTGATATTAGCCTGGTGATGACAAAGTCTTTGCCTGCAGGGTTTGTGAGGAAGATGGTGGAAAAAAAATATACCTTCATAAAGAAAAGCTCCAAGTTTAAAAGGTTTTCTGACTTGCCCTGAAACATCTGTCAGTACCTGCTGTGCCATGGCTCTGATCCTCCAGTACTCAGCTTCAGCACTTGGTGAGAGGGAGGGGGCTGCCACCTTCACTTCACAGGCATCTCCACTGAAGCTTTCAGTGCCACTGTGGAAATAGCCCAACAGGTTCTACAGAGAGACACAACATCAGAATTTCACTGTGTGGTTAACAAATGACCATGTCCAGCCTGTCTGTGGGAAATACAAGATTCAGTAACCTTTGCCATTCCCACTAGCTGGTCACCTGCCATCTTGAATTAATATATCCAATGTAAAGGCAGCTTTTTATGAATGCTGGTCTGCAAAGACTTCACAGGATTTTTTGTTTACAAAACAGACAGTGAATTGAAAACAAGTCTATATGGAGCATGCAACTACAGCAAAACAACATTGTCTTCTACCTAGTTTTTGTAAATCCAGAGGAAGAAATTGGTCAAAAGAGAAATTTTCACCTATTGAACTCTTCTGATTTCATACTGGCAAGGCAATTTAAAATAAGTCTGAACTGAAAGCTACTAGTGTGGTCTGTATACATTTAGAAAAACTGATTTCAATCTCCACCGTTGATCCAACATGTTTAATTGTGAGTTAACAAATTAACAACTTGTCAAAAGTTAGTGCATCCACTGTGTGATTACATTTTGACTGACAGCAAAATGGCAGTTTTACCTTTACTGGCTCAAGAGTGGCAGAGAATGCATCCTGCAAGGCACAACATGCAAGCCTCCACATCTCTTCAGTAAAAACAGGCCCTGCTGTCACCAAGACATACCTGCAAGGACACAGGAAAATATTACCATGTTCAAGGAGGAACTAGACAATTCTTATTCCTAAAGGGAGAAGGTTGAAAATCCCAGTCTTTGGAAGTGTCCAAAGCCAAGCTGGATGGGGCTTTGAGCAACTTGGTCTAGTGGAAAGTGTCTCTGTCCATGGCAGGGGAGTTGAAATGAAGTGATCTTTAAGGTCCCTTCCAACCCAAACCATTTTATGAATCAATGAAAACAGAACAAAAGGCTTACTCAGTTGCTAGCTAATGTTATCCAATCTCCTCAGTTGTTACCCTAACCTATTTTTGGAATTACACTATAGTTTTGACTTTTTTTTCTCCTTTGCTTTTCCTCTTCAAGTAGACACCTTTCCTCAAGAACTACACACTATGTAACTGTATAAATGCAGTGCTTATTTTGATTATGACTGTAATAACCTGAAGACTGAAAAAGGTGCTAATTACCTCTAAAGACCTGTGAATGCCAGGAGAAGACCCTTTTTCTTAAGGATCAATTATTGACTGATTATATATAAGTAATGTGCAAGTGCTTTTTTTGAGAATCGTACATCTAGTAATGCCTAAAATCACAGGTTCTGAAGCACACTGAAAAAACAGTAAGAAAAGGTTAGTAAGTCTAAAATCCATTATTCCACTAAAAAGACCTAAGATGTATTGTAGACTTCTTTTGAGATGTCAACCAACTTATCTGTCCACAAATCCTTCAAAGACATAGACATCTTTTTTGAATGTGCTAAGAGTGAACAGACTGGGTTACCTGATACAGGAGCAGCCAACTCTGGAAATGATTTCTGTTGGTTCTGCTACACAGGCTACCAGTAACTTGAAAAGATCTTTCAACATAGTATTGATCATATTTTCATAACCAATATCTATAAGGAAAAAACACAGACTGGTTTTAACATCATTGCCTTTTCATTAGCGATAAACAGTCTTGCTACACTTACTGCTATTCAGAGAATTTGCAAGACCAAATGATTTTTATGCAGCTATTGAAACATGCATTACCTCAAGCTGAAAGAAGAACAGTCCTTTTAAAGTTAACAATATAAAATGTCTGGACTGAAGTGGTACAGGAGAAACTATCTTAGATCCTGTTTCTGATATTCTAGTTCTTTATGATCAAAGTCTTTGTATCTTCTTTTGGGAATATACTAAAGATTATGATCTTTTAATTTTGAAGATAGCCCTGCCCTAAGAAGGAGCCTGGTCTAAATAACTTCCATAAATGTCTTACAATTTTTTCCCCATAATTCTAAACCCTATAAAGAAAAAAAAATCAGAAATTTTTAACTCTCCTCATATTTTATGCTTGAGCAACCAAAAAAGCAATGAAACCACCTCCTCAAGTAGCTATTCAGCAACATGTCACTGATGACAGTAGATATGACACTACAATGACATACCTGAGTGTATGAAATTCTGAATGTGCTCCACTACAAGTTCACTGGAAAGGCCAATGGCATGCTTGAAATTAGAAGATGCCACATCCCAGTAAGAGTGGTCACCATGGCTGCGATGGAGCCAAAGAGACATCGTGGGAAGAAGAAGATGTACAACTGCATAAATGCCAAATCCTGGTCCTTAAAATAAACACAATAATGGTTGTATATACTTGCTTACAAACCTACATGCTCAGTAAATTTGCTAACTTGTTCCAAGCTGAAGCCTGAGGTAATGATGAAGTAAAGAGGTTCTGAAACTTTTTTGTGAGATGAGGGTGGCAAAATTTGGATGTAGTTATGAGGAACATTTAGCCAACTGTTTACCTGCAGTCTTTCCCAGCAGATCTGCAGGATTACGTAATTTTCTCTTCCATTTGCTAGATATGAAGCAAACATTTCCTGTGCCTAGGACATCGATAGAGTACCACACCTCTTTATTGTGCAATGAATTTAAGCATATGTTCAATATGCTCTTACAAGATGCCTTTTGTCAACAGAATGATGGACTAAGTGGAAAAACTTATCAGCTCTGAGAAAATCCCTTCCTGGCAGAGAATGCCTCTGTGCAGCTTTAACACAAGTAACATACTTTACAGAAATGGCTTAGGACTCTGAAAGGTTTGGTTAGGACTCCACTAGCTCACATTTTATCAGGCCCTTTCATTACCAGGTGTCTTGGCAACGTCCCTCAGCAACTCAAAGAGCAGATCCAAAGTAGGAGGCTGGTGCTGACGGGGACAGTTGGATATGGCAGTTGTTAATTCTTCCAGCAGAATAATCCAGACATTGATAAGGCCTACAAAGTAAAGAAAGTAAGATTAAAAACCATGAATAAGTTACTGCTTGACACAGGTGAAACTTGCCCTCAGAAATTATGTAAATTAATAAATTAAGTAACTTAAAGATCATGGTTCTTGCATGTTTACTGTTACTATGTAATGGTTGTGGCCAATTGCCATTTTTGAAAAGATGGTTTCCTTTTCCCTCCCTTTTTATCAAGTTTGTGTTTTGTCCCATCCTTTCTCATCAATACACACCTTGTTCTGGTCATACTTTATTATTCCTACTAGCTCAGTCTCTTTAATCTTGTGTAAAACATCCCACAAAAATATATAAATAAAACCTCATCTCATTAGCATTGTAAATGCTGTCCAGAATAGATTGTATTACCTTAGATTATGTTTTAAAGTAAGGCTCCTGAGAAGACCAGCCATAATTTAACTGGCTCTATTTGGTACTCAGGACTGAAGAGTAAAAATGTCTCATGAGGTATGATCAAGTTGCCTCACATGTCATCTTTAGATGTTGAAGAGGTCACAGAGCTGGACAACTGCCAGAACAGCAGAGAGAATACAGGTGAGCTTTCATCTACACTGGCAAGCAGGTATCCCCTAAAAGATTACAGGATACAACTAGTATTCAATACTATTTTGAAGATGGTTAGGAATCGCTGCCCTTTAAGTTTTCACAGATCCCTTAAGTATCTGCTAGTTCTCCATGATAACATGAACAACTAAAGGGATGTTTCACATTACACTCTTAAGTCACCCTAAAAGGCTATGGGTTTATTAGGGTAAAATGGATTTTATATTGGTTCACTAATAAGTTCCTGCTCTCTGCCAGTGGTAGCCATGCTGATGTAGTCTGTATCTTAATGATGCTTGCTAGGTAATTATGTTCTAAAAGCAATACAAAAAGGAACATTTTTAAGATTTACTGAGCTTGCAGACTGCAAGAATCTTCCTGAGAAACAAGGAAAAAAAAGTGAAATCATTGCTTTGTAACTAGGTTGAGGATTTATTTATTCACACCACTTTCAGAAGGCAGTGGTGTGCCCTGTTTTGAGTCAGGTAGACTTTAATGACACTTCTGGATAAGGAAGCAGCATAAATGACTCAGAGTGAAATATGGATGTTTTCCAGTCTGGGAGAACTGAGTTTCTCATAACACCCTCTTGTAGAGTCCAGCATAAAATCAAACACAGTATGAAAATATACTGCAAATATGCCAAAGTAGGTTAAAACATTTTGCCTCATCTTGCTACCGACTTTGAGCATTAGAGTGCCAGGTGAAGCTGCATTGTGTCTTTATGAAGTCTGTTTGCCCAGCAACAATCTAACACCATTGCCATGTAAATAACAAACTGGGTGACAGCCTCTGGGCATAGTTCTGACAAGAACCACTAGAAGGTTTATTTGCTGCAGGGTGGTGTTTCTGTTTACAGCAGGAGAGTAACAGGCAGAGTCACTTCAGAACTGTAGGCAACTGAGGTGGGGAGACCCTAGGTCAAGTTCCAAGTCTGAGTCAAAGCAGAGGCTTCAATGACTTGTGTCTCCTACATCCCAGGTGAATATCCTAAAATCCCCTGAAAGAGAAAAACCAAACCAAACCCAGCACAGAAAGAAGTAAAAGGTTGTTTTGTGAAAAACTACGACTTGTGACTTTCTGGTTTCAGAGAACAGCTTTTCATTCCTTTGTCCAGGGTAGCAGGAACAGGACAATCCATGTGGTGGAAGAGTCTAGATGAAGGTGGTACCAAAGGCCAGTCTGGTGAGGCACATGAATGAAATGCATTGGAGTCAACCTGCTTTCTGCCAGATTGCAGCTGACTCTTTACAGAGGCAGCCTGGTTGGAACAGCTCAGTAGTCTACATATTCAGAAGTGACTGTGAAGCAAGGGGTTAAGTTAGAAACGCAGCTAGTAAGATGAAGGCCATATATTTTGATTAAGGGCTTAACAAAGAGATTAGGAAAAGAGTAATTATTACCAGATGGGGATAACTGAAGCAAAGATAATATATCATGTATTTGACTCAGCTGTATTCTTAGAAAGGACAGGGAATATATGAAGTATTGTAAAAGGGTAGGAACCATAAACACACCTGGCTTCTAACAATGACTGGGCCCAGGAGAGGCAGTTTGGAGCATGACCAAGAGGTCACAAAGTCCTGGCAACCAGATAAAGGTGAAGAATTTACCATGAGGAAGACCTCTTACTTCATCCTCAGAAGCCCACTGACCCATTTCAAGAAGATGACTGCGCAGCCGTAATGAACATTCAGCTCATTGGAATACCAAGCGGGAGCAGGTGATGCATATGTATAGGCGTCTCGGTATCTTTATGAATATGTAGAGCTTTTGTAGATATATGGAGAAGCTTCAGTTTTGGAAATTTGCACATGTCTTTGGAGGACTACCTCCCAGTGTGCCCAGCAAGCTGAATAAACATGCCACTTTTCAGCTTTAATTAGGTGAAGAGTCTTCTGTCCGTGCATCATTCTGGCAACTGCAGCAGGACTCCTCTGTTTACTGTGGGACCAGGCCAGGCTGTGGACACCTCCAGGTTCCTGGAGGGACCTCCACTCCCTGTCTGCTCATTGCGGGGACAGACAAGACCACTGGCATTACGGACAAAGGGTATGCTTATAATTAGAGAAATTAGTCTCTAAGTTGTATGTACGTGTGGCTGAGGGGGCAGCTGGTAAGTCACAGGGAGGCCCTGTGTGCAACACAGGCCCATAGGTTTGCTTGCAAGCACTGAAGGGTTTGGTTGCCGGCTAAAGGGTAATTTGGAGACCGGCTAGCAGTTCTGGGAGTGAACTGGACAAATTCCTGTGCATTGCTCCTATTCTTTTATTTGCTGCTATTTTTGACTGTGTCCAGACTGTGTCAGTGTGTGTGCGTTTGATGAAATATATGAGTTGTGATTTTTGTTACTGGAAATTGTAGTTGTCACTATTTTTGAGGGATATTGTGCATTTTTGAGGTAATACTACTATCTTGTGTCAAAAGGTATAGTTGCCATGAGCTGGTAACTCTTTAGTTCATTTTTAAGACAACACTGCTATCTTGTGTCGAAAGTTATAGTTGCAACTAGTGGTTTTTTTACTTGGTGTTTTGGTTTTTGTATTTACTGTGATGTTTGTTTATTTTTAACAAATTGTTAGAGGTGGCTGGCGAAGCTTGGGCTCAAGCTGCAAGGACTTGACTGTCCAGAGAGGCACTCTTTAAGTGGCTTGGGCTTAAACCAGATGAGCTCTTGGCTATAGGAGGAGACTGGGCTGTTATAAATAGGATAGAAAGACAGAAAGGGTGTTTTTAGGGGTCAGATATTCAAGCTGAATGCACTGTTATTTAGCTTTTGATTGGGAGCTACCCCCAGCTGAGGATAATCTCAGAAATCTGTGGAGGTAGAGAAGACCAGGAGTAACTCGTTGCTTTTTGTGTAATCTGACAATTTTCTGTTGGGTACCTGGGGGACACTCGGCTGTGTCCCTCTTCATTGCAAGACCTGCAATAGAAGGTGGTATTGTATATCTTATAGGCAGAGACTCTATAAGATATACAATATACAATATTTTGCCCCAAATATTTCCTGGAATCAGAATGCCCGCAGTACTACAACTAGGAGGGAGCACATACTGAATGTGAGACAGTGAATTTAGTCTGTGGAAAAGGTTGTCCCAAGAATTTAGATATTTTTAAAGAAGATGGGGAACAGTGCAAAACGAGCTGGAGGACAACCCCTGCGGTTTAGTTCTGATATCTGATACAGGGTTGTGTTTGTGGAATTGCTGCCTGTAGTGAGAGCAGTATTTTGTGTAAGATTAATTACAGTGTGGAATTTGTGTAGAAGGCTGCTATTATTTCTGCCGAGGGACAGACAAGGACAATTTATGGAACAAAAGGTCAATTGAGACCTAGGGCTAGAGAAGCCTGTGTAGAGTGCTGGTGTGGTTTTGAGATTAGTGTGCAGTTTTAGTACATTTTCCCCCTGAGAAGAGGAAAGGGGAGGTGTGGTGAGTATGCACAGTGAAGTGTGTATGGCTCTCTGGGGATGCTATCTCTGGGCTCTCTGTTTTAACCACGGCTAGGAGAATTAAAGGAATCCCTCTTACACAGTGGTTCAGACTTGAACCATGGGAATTTGTTACTCCAGTGAATCACGGAATAGCTAGAAGAAACTAACGGGTTTACCTAGAAGGATTACATAAGACTTCTGGTGGCCAATGACTGTCTTTAGATTGGGAATTTCCTGCAATAGAGAGTTTAGAACTTCATGAAGGAATACATGGAATAGCTTGCCTCTGTGGACGTTTCTCTGCAGCCCTGGTTCATTTAGAGGTTGGCATTGTGCGTGGGTGTTAATTCACTCTAATATTTGTGCAGGACGATATTATTGTTATTCTGCAAGACAGCAAAGTGAGTGTGCCCTGTGTCAGTGGAAACAACGCCTTAATCAAGCTGATTTTGAACGAGAGATTTTAAAGTTGGTGTGCCCAAAGTCACACTTCGTACCTGAAGATTGGATTGTGTGGGAAGAAAACTGGGAAAAGAATGTGAGATTTTGTGAAGCAAAGTTTAGGTAGAGTGAGTGAGAAATAAGTAGCTGAGGTGTCCTATGAATGGAAATGGAAATCAGAGGAGACTGAGCTTGGTAGAAGTTGCTTGCCCGAAGGGCTGCCCTTGTGAACCCTGGGTTTGCTTCTGCTGTATTTAGTTGAAGAGCTGTGGTACAGACAGACATTTAGGTGGAGGAGACCGAGAGAGTCACTTTGTCATTTGTGTTATTCTAAGGAGACAAAGGACACTCAGAGAGCTATAAAGATTTTACTGGCAACCAGTCGTGAGGGCCACAGAAGTAACAGGTTGTTTGAATCATTGGAGAAGGGGGTTTCAGTTAATTTAGGGAAGCCAGCAGAAGTAATTAGAACTAAGTGTGCGCAGCCTATTTTTATACCCCGAGACTTTCAAATTAAGGCAAAGAGCTGGGATAAAGTAAAGAAGCACTGGGAAAAGAAAAATGGGAACTAACCAGAGTACAGAAATTTCTAAGGCTAGTCCTTTGGGTTGTATTTTGGCACACTGGAAAGAATTGATGGGCTATGGAGGAACTGAAAATAAAAGGAATTTAATTCGATTTTGTAACCAATGATGGCCACTTCAAAGGCTAGAAGGAGATGTTAGATGGCCACCATCTGGAACTTTAGACTATGACACTTTATTGCAGATGATGTTATTTTTAAGAAGGGAACAGAAATGGGAGGAAGTAACATATGCTGATATGTTCTTTACTCTCTGGAATCATTACTGAGACTGAGAATGGGAAATTCAATCAGGAAAGATGGGCCACTACACAAGAAGGGAATGGAAAGCTTGCAGTCCCCTCCTATTTGTTATGGTCACTAGTAAAAGAGGAGCATCAGAAATAGCTGCTTGGTATACTAATTTAAAAGATAGGATTGTAGCCAGAAATTTACAAGGTACAGTTATTCAAGTGACTTGACAATGTAGTTTTTGCCTCCAAACTAACCCCAAAAATAATCCCAAACCAAAACTTAGACAAATTGGAAGAGCCTATGGGCCTGGGCAACAGTGGCAAACTGATTTTTCAGAACTTTCCAGGAAAGGGGGGTATCAATATTTATTTGTATTGACAGTTCTCTTTTCAGGATAGCTGGAAGCCTTTCCTACCAGAACCGCCAAGGTGTGAAAGATAACTTAAGTACTGTTACAAGAGATAATACCATGCTTTGGGGCCCCAGCCACAGTATCTTCAGATAGAGGGTCACACTTCATTTCAAAAATTGTACAGCAAATTAGCTACCAATTGGGCATAGACTGGGAGCTTCATATCCCATATCATCCCCAGTCAAGTGGCCAAGTGGAAAAAATGAATCATTTAATCAAGCAACAAATTATAAGGCTAGAGCAAGAAGAAAAATTACATTGTCCCCACGCTCTTCCATTAGCATTACTGTGAATCCAGACTAAACCAAGGACAAAAGAAAAATCAAAAGTCCTTTTGAGATATTATATGGAAGGCCATATGGGGTAAAAGAGGGAACATCAACCCAAGCAGGGGAAGAAACCCCACACAGCTACATGATGGCCCTAAAGAAACAACTCACAGAAATTGAGAAGCATGTGTCTGGGTTTCAGAGCAGGGAATTAGATGGACCAGTACATGACATACAGCCTGGAGATTATGTATATGTCTTTTGCAGAGCAAGTTCTGGACCCACAGTGGGAAGGACCATTCCAAGTGCTTCTCACCACTTTTACTGCAATCAAGGTCAAGGAACAGAACGTCTGGATCCACCAAACGCGAGTGAAAAAGGATCCAAGAGGTGTTTGGAAAGTTACACCAGATGATAATGAACTGAAACTAAAGCTTATGCAGGAAAATAAGTAGATTGTAAGAAGAAATTAATCTAGTTTGTATTTGTAACGACTTTGTTTCAAAGAATGGCAAGTACAATTTGGAAAGTTGTGACCTTCACTATCATAGCTATGTCCATAACTGAAGTTAATGCAATACCACGTGTGTACAATGCAACTGATATATACACTTGTCGAGGAACAGCTTATGACTCTTACTCCCGTAAATCTCTGTCAAAAATGCTGAGAGTCACAAATGCATCTGTTTGGGAAGGGAGAAATGTCTGGGGATGTGAATATGCATTCGTTCAGGATGGCTTCCATGAATTCGACCAAGAACCTATGGAACTCATCCGGATTAGCCCTGAATGTTGTGACAAATGCTTAAGCAACTGTCCTGAATTCCGACTCAGAATAGAAGGATGTGCAGACAAGAACTCTAGAATTGACTATAATATAACTCAAGTCTGTGTTGTTCCTTGGAAGCATAGAATTAGAACAACCAGAACAACCAATTAGCCTCTACCAAGACAGACTGCCCATACTCAGACTACACTCATCCAAACCCTAAAAGAGACAATTTGATCTATAGTTACCAAAACTGGAACATATACTATTAAAAAGACTGGAATCTGAAGGCTACTGCTTAATCCAGAATGGTCCCTGAAGCGAGCAGAAATGGCAATGCAGGTAAATGCTTCTGCCATTAGACTGGAGTGTACCCCATTTCTTAAGACCTCTTTTATGGATGACCACTTGGTTACAGAAGCGTATACCATATACACTCAGACGAAAAAGAGATTTGACTGGATTATTAAGAACAGGACTGGCGGTTTTGAATACAATGGATTCAGAGGTATTAATGAACAAATTAACTGCAGCTGGTAGTGACACAATTAAGTTACAACAGCCTTTACAATCTCCTTTATTAGCTTTAGGTACCACCCAGTGGAAACTGTCCAAGATATTACCAGAATGGGAAAATACAGAAGAATGGGACCATGAATTGATAATCAACACCTTGGGTACAGCTACTGAGAATATTTCTTTTGCTCTTAGGTGTGTACAAGCACACTTGTGGATGCAATCAGTGGCTGCCTCAGTTACTAAGGAAAGTGGAGAACACACCTTTCCTGCTGAGATCTGCAAAATTGTTTGGGATAATTCTTCTGACTTAGAAAGAGAACTTTAATCTTGATGGGTTTTGCTCAATTTTGCCTATGATCCTGTCACAAGTGTAGTGACTGTTTTTGTTTTGACTATACATAATGCATCAGTGGATTTAATATACCCAATAGTCGCTTTAAGGTTGAATCATGAAGGAACTGCACTGTATCCTTCTGAACACAGAACATGGGCACAGAAAGCTGAAGGGAACTGTCAGACTATTAATATAGAGTCTTGTGCCATGAGAAGACAATTATGGTTTATATGTGAAGGAAATATGAATAATGATCAAGACACTTGTCTGGATACAGAACAAAGCATTTGTCACATTGAGGTTCATTCAGCCAACCAGACAACCCTGCTTGTATATATAAGTCAAGGTCATGCATGCCTCAGAACAGCATGCTCCACTATAGTGGTGGACAAGCTCACCATAAATGAAACACCATTTAATCTGTGCATTTGTAACTTTGCCAGAATTGAAGGATGTGATTTCTCCTATCAGGCACCTGCTGTATCACATCAGTATCTAAAGGCAAATTTGACTACTGTGCAAGAAATATCATCCGTGCCTATAGGGATGAATTTAACTTTAGTCAAACAGTTATTGAAACATGAGCATCAAAAGGAAATTCTTGAAAAAATTAAAATTATGCGAAAGAAGACCTGAATTACAATACATCATGACACAGAAACCATACTGAAAGTCTTTAAAAGGTTAGAGGAAGATATGTCTCACCATTAGTGGGATGTACTTTTTGGATGGTCACCAAAACCAACGGGTATACTTAATGCTTTAGTTCACCCACTTATTGTTTTATTGATTTTAGCTAGCGTAAGTTTGATTTTGTCTGTTGTAATGCTTGTTTAGAATTTGAAGATGCTACGATGAATGGCGATCTTAACTTCATTAACAAAAACATATGGTGTGGTTTTAAGAGATTCTTATCTCATGACTTGGTTAGAGGAAGAAGAATCCGTATATCAGTAAAAGAATTTACTAACTTTGCAGAGAAATGGGGGAATGAATCAAGGGGTTAAGTTAGAAATGTAGCTAGTAAGATGAAGGCCATATATTTTGATTAAGAGCTTAACAAGGAGATTAAGAAAAGAGTAATTATTAATAATTATATACTAATATAATATATAATAAATTATTTTATAATAAATTAATAATTCCAGATGGGGATAATTGAAGCAAAGACAATATATCATGTATTTGACTCAGCTGTATTCTTAGAAAGGACAGGGAATATATGAAGTATTGTAAAAGGGTAGGAACCATAAACACACCTGGCTTCTAACAATGACTGGGCCCAGGAGAGGCAGTTTGGAGCATGACCAAGAGGTCACAAAGTCCTGGCAACCAGATAAAGGTGAAGAATTTACCATGAGGAAGACCTCTTACTTCATCCTCAGAAGCCCACTGACCCATTTCAAAGCCCGCTGACCCAATATAAGAAAATGACTGCGCAGCCGTAATGAACATTCAGCTCATTGTAATACCAGGCGGGAGCAGGTGATGCTTATGTATAGGCGTCTCGGTATCTTTATGAATATGTAGAGCTTTTGTAGGGATATGGAGAAGCTTCAGTTTTGGAAATTTGCACATGTCTTTGGAGGACTACCTCCCAGTGTGCCCAGCAAGCTGAATAAACATGCCACTTTTCAGCTTTAATTAGGTGAAGAGTCTTCTGTCCATGCCCCAGCTGTACTGCTGTGAAGGTCTCCTGACCCCAGAAGCCATAAGGCTGCATTCCTCTACTGCTTGGCTCTGTATATTCTAGTTCGTCCAACACCTGATTAATCCACAACCCATATAAACCATACAAATAATCAGGAGACAAATGCTGCTTATTTTTTCTGGAGGTCATAGTGCTTTTTATGGACTTCAGAAATTCACTGTTTATTTCAACAGACCACAGGGCCTAAGTTTGGAAATATTTAAACAATTATTCTTTATCTTTGTAAACTGTAACTCAATACTGGTATATTTTTTCCTGTTAAAGGCAGGCCTGCCAATACCAACTCTAGAAGATTTTCACTCCTTTACTTCAGCTGTGGTCTAGAAAGTGTTAGCTCTCAGAAATACACAATGGTTGTATTATGAATATCAGGATAATCAAAATATTGTTATCTTGCCCTAAGAGAGGGGTTGTATTTTTCTTATATATTAATTGTATCTTTTACATAAAGAAGGTGACAGGAACTGAACTTCCAAGCTCTGTGTGCACACGTGGGTGTGTGTAGACAACAAGGAAACAATAAACTATGAAGTTTTCCCCCCGTTTTGCTTTCAGCAATTGTCAAAATTTGCAGCAACATATAGAAGAAATAATTGATTAGTTCTGAATTTACTACTTTCAATGCACTTACCAGTGTCATCATCAAAGTCAGAAAGGATGCACTCAATTCCATCCTCACTGCTGGCTGACTGCTCCTGCGCTCTTCGGGGCAAGTTAACCAGCCGGCCACTGAGGAAGATGGGTTTCAAGGGCATTTTATAGATTTTGGCTAACAACTTGGAAGGGTGGAGAAGAGGGGAAAGAAAAAAGAGAAGATAAATATCCATGGGAAAGTTTGTAAAAGCAATCACATACAACACAGGTACGTAAAATAAAATAAAAGGTATGCAAACACAATTAGAGGCCAGAAGTCTTTGGTTCACTGACAAGTAAAAAGTTGTGGGTAAAGAGAGGGAGAGCAGCAATTGAAATAACACATTTCTGAGATGGGACTGTGCTCTCTCTTCTCATTTGTGAAAGGCAAACGTTACAATTCACTGACTGCATCTATGATCTACAAAGCTCCGTTAGCCATACTATTGCACTGATGCTACCAGCATTTAATCAAGTCTTTCTAAGTAAATAATGTATTGCAATATACAGACAAGATTCTTTTTTAGTCATTCCTGTTCTACTTTTACTGGCAAGTTAAAAGGTATAACAAGATATAAATGGCTGCTTCTTTTAAAGAGGAGAGAATATTTTCCCCCCACCGTGAACTGGAGTTTGTAAGGATGAGGAATGGCAATGTGGCACTAATAGTGTATAGATAGAACATACATTAGATACACACATAGATATTTATTAATTTTTTTAGATGAACACGATAGCAAGTTGAGTTTGGTATGTCTGCTGTTTTTTATTCTGAGTTGCCTTACTCTTCCCTTCTTTTCTCAGTCTGCATACTGAATCCACCCATTATCTCTGAATTTAGATATTAAGTACTTTCAACAATGATAGTATCCTTTGCTGTGCTTTTGTATTGTACTCAGAAAAACATGGCCTGGGTCCAACAAAAGGACCTGCAGGTGCTACAGAAATACAAATAACATTATAAAATCAGAGAAAAATTGTCCAGGTAACCCTGGATAATAATATATGCTGTGTGCAAGAAGATTAGAGGAAACATGCCAGCATTCTAATTATTAGCGATTTGACCTGAGCTTCAGATACAAATAAGCTGCTTCTGCATTTCAGAGGGTGCAGCCTATTGTTTTTAAAATAAAAAGAATTCTAAACTTCTTGTTTTTGTTTTTTTTTTTTTTTTTTTTTGGGGGGGGGCGTTTTTTGTCTTTCATTCACAACACTGTTTATGGTAACTGTTTAAGTAATAATTAATTTAGCTTTGAATAATTATTATTGTTACTACGATGTTTTGAATATGCATGTTTCCTCACTTGCTCCCTGGGTCTGAGTGTTTTTACCTCCTTGGTTTTCCCACTGCTAACTGGCCTGGAAGGTATGATATTCTCTGATTACCACCATCCATTTGGCAGTGCAGGGTATTACCGTCAGGGTCACCACAGACTGTCGGGTTCATGCAAATCATCCAATGACTGATGCAAAGCCTGCAGGTTAGAATTATTTCCCAGGCCAGGTTAGTGACTCTTTAGGATTGTTCATTATACCTGAGAACATCTCCTGAGGTAATCAAGCGCAGGAAGGCACAAGTCTGTAGATGCAGATCCTGATCCTGGCACACAGTCACCCATCTCCTTACAATCTACTTCCCCTGGGGACAGGAAAGGCAGCATTGGGAAGGACAGAAGAAAAGCAATAAATAAAGCATTCATTTTCTTTTCTCATTCAGTTACACCCTAATGTTTGAACAGAATCCAGAAAACATCCTTTGTTTGATCTTCTTAGATGACAACCAGGTGACCCACACACAAACAATACAGTAACACTGGTCATAGTTTGTACACAAATTTTTATATGCATAAATGCTTTAATAAACATATGTCTATTTAATATCTCTTTAGTACAGTCTTTGGGAGTTCTAATAATCATATATTGTATTATCTGTCATACTGACTCCATTCCACTTTCTTCCATGGGTTTAGGAATTACTTGCTCATATTCACCATTGCTCAATTAATGTAGTATTTTTTTCTAGTCATTTGCACCCCACTGCCCTGGAAAATTCTTCTACCAGAAGTTCTTCCTATTAGTTTATTTACTGCTTAAATACATCATTTTATATTCTGTATACTACACTTCCTTCTGCTGTCTAATGCAGGCATCAAGGTCTCACAATTTCAACTGTATGACACATAGGCTCAGGTTCTGGTGCCACTATTGCTGGTATCCCTGACTTCCATCGGCAGACTGCTCCTTTCAGGCCAGCTTCACTAAAGGAATTCAATAAGCAGAGCAGTTCCAAGGCATCCTGCTGCTGAGCTCCTCTCTGGATAACTTCATTCACTCCATCATTTTCCCTGTCTGCTAGTCTGCCTGTCTCATCTCAGCTGAAGTTCTGTCCACCTTAGAATACTTGGCTCAAAACCATTTTTCCAGTTTAGCCAAATACTTCCCATTCAGTGCCAAATCTGAAGAGTGACTAAATGCCTATTGACATTAACATTTTCTTGCCTTAAAAAGTTATTCCTCTCATAAAGAGCACAAGATAAATATTAAATTATTTTATTAGATCCTACTTTGTTCTCCTTTCACTATATTTATTTGCTTTTTCTATGCTCTTAACTATTAACTAACATAATGTATTTTAAAATTTTGTCTACCACTGAGATCAGCCAAGTCAGCCAGTGAAGTTTGAATCCATTAGTTTTACAATGAAATGTACATAGTATGGCATTGTATTTGCTGATGTTTCCCATAGTCCTATTACCTTTAATACAAAAAAAAAACCCTTGCTTTTTGATATGTGACCACAATGGCGTCAAAATTATCTCATGAAAGCAAGAAACGCAAAGAAATATAAGACAGGCTTTTAAGATCTCCAGAAGAAACATGAGTTCCCTCTATTGGTACTGGACATGTAAGTTTATTTCTCTTTTGCAGTAATAACTACAATTACAATTACCTCACAAGGTGAATTCTTCCCCCATTGAAATCAATGGTGAAATAGCTCAATGAGACAAGAGTAACATTAAAGAGTAGATCTGCTGCAGCTAGGCGCTTCATTTAAATCAAAAGGAGTTGCTTGAGTTGCTTACAGACCTAGAAACCGCTGTGAATTAATATTCATATAGTGACCAAAAGCTCCATTTTATCACTACTTAAAAGTTCTATAATTTACATCCACAAAAACCTCCCAACACTATCACAGTTCAGTGAAAAGTGTCAAATTCTAATGATCAAGGCAAGCCATGGATCACCAGCACAGGGGCAGAACAGCCCAGCACCATTTGCCTTTGTTCTGAAGGCTGGTGAAGCATGACAATGACTCTGCAGGGTCACCCTGACATACTGGTCTCTGCTGCCCACAGTGTAAAACAGGCCCTGCTCTGTTGCAAACAGTCCATGCTCTCTCTGCACAATGCCAGGCCATTTCTGCAGTATTCTAGGTTTGGATGGTTTTTTTTTGTTTTATTATTTACATGAATATAAGCAAGTTCTGGTGTAAACGAAGATCAAATTAAGAAGCAGACACTTAATAGTGAGATGCAACTTTGCTGCTATAAACACTTGAAGAACTGATAGCATTAAAAACGTTACAGAAATAATCCCTTGGTTTTGATTTTATTTTATTTTTTTAAAGCATTCTGGACTGAACATCTTCAGTGCCCCTCTCTTTTCTACCATGCTATGTATTACACAACTGAATTATCCCCTTCTGCGAGATACCATGACTTATTAGGAAAATATTTACCCAGTCCTTTGACAAACTTCATAAGGCACATAATATAACTGGTGGCAGCGTTGGCAAAGACCTGGATGTTGTCTGTGTTTAGAAATGCTTCAAAGACATCAAACACCGGAGCCTGGCGTTTCCCTGTGGAGATAACAAGGTGAGAAGTCTTCCTCAAACCCCCTTAAAAATAATTTTTCAACCATTTTTCAACAATTTAACTGAATCTGTAGAATCTTTTCTCTTCTGGGCAGAGAGAGAAATGATCTTAAAAGTAAAACCTTCTCTTGCTCCTGGGTCAACTTGTGTAGCCTTTCATAGTAAGTGACAGAAACTCCCTCCTTTGCCCAGTCTATGACAAATGCCAGTTTATGCCTGCTCAAAAGTTAAGAGCAGGTTTGAGCTCTTGAACTCAGGAGCTAATAGTTCTGTTTGGTGGAGGTCTCTGTTTAGCTTCTAGTTTAGTTTCTGATAACTGCCAAGATTACATCAATCATATAGAAAACTATTCAGACTATAGAGTAGCCATTGATTTTCCAAAGTAGATTATCATCTTCAAAAGCTGTGTACACCACCATTCAGCCATCAACCATAACAGATCTCAATGACAAAGTTTAGGAGAAAAAACACACCCCTTGTGCATGACTTGTCACATTTAAACATACCTTCTAATAGGGCAAAAATAACAGAAAAAATGTATTTTCCCACATTAACACATTTCCATACAAGCAAACATCTCTGGGAAGGATGCACATTCTTACAGAAATGTGGTCTGTAATAGCACTAGGAATCTGGAAGCTTTGAGATCAAATGCCTGGACAAGCACTTGCCTAGATTATCATATTAAGTTATCCTGAGGTATAAGAGCAATAGGTTTCATACAGTAGGGAAGACAGTTCACAAGAGACATGCAGCTTGGATACAGTCCTTTCTTCAGTAGGACAGTGACAAAAGCTCAGCCAAGCTCAGTACCTTTGCACTACTGTCTTGCTCAAAAATATTCCAATAGGTTTGATGCCCTTCTTTCTCACTCAAATAATTTGTTATAATGTAGAGGACAAAAGGTCAGAACAATATGTCTACTTTCCTTCCTACCCCAACTAATAAGTCAGATACTTTGGTACTGTTGTAGAATGTTGTAGTGGCACTGTTCAGTTTGGATATTTAAATAGACTGAGTTAGTTACTGTGTCCCCCAGGGAACCAAAAGCATATTTGAAACAGAGCAGGAAGTCCTTACCCATAGAGTATTCTCCTACAAGGTACTCTTTGACCTCTGACTTGCTGCTGCTATGCACTGTTTCCAGGGCACTGAACAGGGGTCTCCATCCCGACTGGATCTGGGTAGAACACATTTCCACCAACTCTCCTATAGAGGTGATTACCTGCAGCCAGTGTAGGAAGGGTTAAAAAAAAAGAACCAAAAAACAGAACTGATACACAGATGGATCTTCAGAAGGAATGTCTTTAAATACATTCCTAGACCTCACGATGACAATCTAGATTAATTTATTCTTTTTTTTTTTTTTTTAGATAGTAGAAAATCTTTATTTAATTGCTTCAAAGCCAGGTCTACTGTCTCTGTGCTCTGCCACAATGCTGGACTGGTAGGCAGAGCACTCCCAATTCCTTGAAGATGATTAAGGGGTAGCATTCAAAGGGAATTTGGGAAACACCCTCAGGTGGACTAAGTGCACTCTGGAAACCATTCTTATGGGCATGGAGACCAGATACAGACACACTGATCAGACTAACTTGCCTGGTCTTGGACATCCTCATCACACAGCTCCAGCTGCATGATGCGCTCAAAGGGGCGGAAAAGTGCTTCGTTGAAGTGAAAGTGAGAAGGCTCGTTCCAGTCCATCAGCACTTCCGTGAGGATGTCATGGATGAAGGAGACAGCCTTCTGAGACACGTGTCTCTCCTTGTGACAGGCAGCCTGCAGAGAAAGGAGAAGGATGAGACTGTGTCCAAGCAAAAAATTTGCTTTTAGTAAGACACTTTCAAGGGAGGTAAGCACTACATGTTACTGAACCTTCAAAACAGCTTCACCACTAATGTGACCAGGGACCCCACTGTAACGAAAAGAGGAGACTACTGCCCTGGAAACAGATGACTGAGACTCTGAGCTGCCTAGAGGTCCACAGATGTATGAAAGTTGGCTGACAATTAAAAACACATCAAGCTAAATATAAATAAATTAAATACCAAAACCCACAGAACTTGCGTGAAATGTTGTCATTTGTTTGGACTGCATGACCCTTTTTCCCTTCCAAAGGTAACAGCTGAGTTTGCTTTATAAGGGAAAAGAAAACCTGCATCCTTTTATAGGAAGAATTGCAAGGCTGCAGACTTTGACTGGAATATAAGCAGGTGGAGGAGTCACTTAGGGCTCCTTGAGGTGATTTCAGTTTTTCCACCAGGCACAATTTGCATCATATTGCAGAAGTCCAACACCCTGTCCCTGCCCATTTCAGTCACTTACAAACACACTCCTTGGTGGCAGTACGGCAATATATGACACAGTGTATACAACACAGAGCAGACTTGACAATGTTGAAGGTTGTTATACATTTTAAGAGCTATCAAGCCTTCTTCATCTTTCATTGTTGCTTCATGCACACAATCCCATTTTTGTCTCCCATTCCTACCTCTACAAGGTGAGGAGCCACCAGGCTCCAGCAGCGCATGAGGTGGAGCAATGGGCGGGATTTACTCCTTACAATTCTGAGCATGGCATCACCAAGTCGGAATAAGTGAAGAGCACTTCTCCTGTCCTGTGTAGACTTTACTTCACCTACAAGAAAGTATAAGAATAAATGGAAGCTAAGCATCAGTTGCTCCTCCACTCCTAAATGTCTGAACTGGAATTAGAAATGATTGATTAAGTAATTGATTATTGATAAGCTTTAGTGGGGGCGAGAAAAAGGCAAAAAAAAACCCCCAAAACCAACATAAAACATAGCCTGTGCCTGTGTAAGTAAAAGGGCAGGAGATGGACCCAGGTTTAAAGGTTACTAAACATACTTTAAGTGATCACTTTTTTTCCAAACATATAAAAGACAGAGGCTTGGAAAAGTCATGCAGAAAAGTTAAGCAAGGAGTTAAATAGCTGATATTAAGACCCAAAATGGTAGTTATGAAAGGTTTTGGTGACATCTACAGGAAAGTTTATAAACTGCAAATTATTTAGCCTGGGTACTTAATTTTATATTTCTTATTAAGCAAAGGCTATAAAGAACAGAATGTAAGAAAATGCTTTTCTGTTCCACAGTCACTAACACTTGTTATTTCCTGTTGAAAGAGATTCATCTTCCATTGCTCTTACAACATTTGAAAAGACACTTCATCCTCTCATTTCAAATACACTGGTGCTTTTATGTCTAACAAAAGACATAATCAGAGGGCATATCACTTTTAAAATAACAAAATAGCACTTAATTCATCTACCTTAATTTTAATTTCAGTATTAAAATGACAGTTGATTGGCCCCTACATAACATGAAAAAATGAAATCTATTTATTAAAACTAGAGTAATGAATGTTGAGGTTTGGAGACAAGCAGGACCAAAAAACCCAAAATCTTGAAGTGTCATACCGAGAAAATAACAAGTAGCACTTCAGGGAGAGAGGAAACCAATTAAATTGGAGACACAGATAAAACGGTGTCTGCCACAGGACAAAACAAAACCTGATGAATAATGTAGCTTCTACAGGCACAGTATAAATTTAAGTAACGTCATCTTCCTTCGTGTCCAATTCTTCTGGTCTATTTGAGACAGTGATAGAAAAAACAATTTACAGGCTTTGTACTGTGAGGTACGAACTCTGCTCTTGGGGAAAATCAAGCAGGACAAGTCCCACTGCTTAACAATCTTTGTTGGTGTGCTCTGTTCTCCATCACCCATTCCCTGAACACTTCTGAGGTTATCCTACTATCAAGTATCAAACCTAAAACCGCTGTCTTAAGTAGAGATTGACCCAAGTTTCCATACTGGCCTGGGCTCAAAAATAGAGCTGTGATTATATATTGGCACACAATTAACACCCCCCAAAGTCCAAGAACCAAATGAATGTCCTGTGACGTGTTTCAAAGCAGGTGTGGATGTGGTCCCTGTCCAAATAAAGTGCTCAATCTTTCCTGAAGACAAAAAATTGTTCCCACAATTGTAGCATGAAAGATTAGTCCTGTAAGCAGTACAATTGCACATAAAACACTCTGTACAGGATCTTCAGACGATTTACCTGGCATTGCTAGTGAGTAATCAACTGTATCTGTGACTGAATGGAAAAGCTGCGCCTGAGAAGCTTTCTTGAGCTGGTAAAGGAAGCCTGCCAAAGCCGTCAAGTTTAACTTGTCAGCAGCATCTTCAAAAAGCCTGTAGGTAAAGAACAGAATCTAACTGAAAAATTCAGGAGATACAGACTTAAATGTGTATGTACAAGGAAAACTCCTGTCTGTTTGTGGCTTCTATACAGTGGCTTTTGTGACACAGTGGTTATTGAGAGCTTTTCCATTTATAGAGTGTTGCAGCAAGACTTTGATCTAGAAGCTTTATTAATTGGAGGGTGGAAAACAGGTTGCTATGGGATCAACCAGAACCCTTTCAAGATTCAACTACAGTGCTAAAACAGAAAGTCACATTTTCAAGTTACCTAATGCTATAAGCCAGTAATGAACCAGTGATCAAAAAACAGTTGAAACATGCCTAGTCCTCACAACACATATCATCATAGCTTCACTGACTCTAGGGTTACACCAGTTTGCTCCATCTGAAGTTACCAACCCTAACTTGAAAAATAAATTAATTCAAGTCTTAAACCTAAGGTTACTGTACCTGAATTGCTAGTTTGGAATATTTTGCTGGTTTTGGCTGGAGTAGAGTTAATTTTTTTAACAGTGGCAAGTATGGGGCTATGTTTTGGCTAACAGTGACAAATACAAGCAATAGTTGTTATTTTCAGCTGCAATGGGCTCCTAGGATTTAACAGCTAAAATCTGTACCATAAAACAATAAATGTAGTTACACCAGAGGGAAGCTCCACAGAGATAACAGTAAAATTTCATATGGTGCATCCAGAAATTGACAAAAATATGATTTTCTGTCATTGCTTTTCATGAAAAACCTTACTACAGTCCTAAGAAACAAGGGATTAAATCCTAATAAACATCTGCACTTAAGTCAAAGGGTAGAAATGAAACTAGTATTGTTAAAATGACAGTATTGCTATTCTCTAATCCTCTGAACCAAGCTACATTTTCAGCTTTCTAAATAAAGGGTATTTTTTTGCCCAGAGTCAAATTTCTACAAGCAGTTTATGCAGTACTTTTGGCTCTGAATTTAAACACAACACCTTCCTATGGGCAGAGATCAAGGTGAAAAATGTCAGCTGGATCAAAAACGTAACTGCAAAGATGCAAACCCAGGAATTTTTCAACTGTAGCCTGGGCTGCTTAAAAAATAGAAGAAATAATATCACTTGGCAGACCATGACGAAAGGACATTTAAGACAGCCATTCTGTGACCATACTTGGCTCCCTTGCTCCTCTGGACACACTGGGGAAGCCTGATGAAATGTCCACGCAGCCCTGGCAGAAGCAGCTGCTTTCTGACTGACACTGCTCGTGTCAATCAGTCCCTTCCTGTCAGGACAAGACACCCCTTTACTTTGCTTAACCTAATACAACATATCAATTTACATGCAAGAAATAAATCCACCACTCTCGGATGCATTTGATTTGCTTGGCATATTCACTGCTATGCAGAGACACACTCAGCTCAGTACTTGCAGGTACTGCAAAGATGAAAAAACCCAGGTTTTTAGAAACTGCTGGCTATGACAATCACTCAGCTCTCTTGTGAAATTCAACTGAAGCAAGTGGCTGAAATGAACACAGACCCACTGCAGCACAAAAAGGGCCATTTTGGTACTGCTTTGGGAACAAGGATTCTGGTTCCTGACAGCAGTGCTTTTACCTGTCAGCTTGCGTGGAGAGCGTGAGAACAGCCTTGGCAGCACTGGTACCACTCAGCAGACTGCCTCCACGGAAGTCAAAAGCTCTGCCCTTACTGCTGTCCTTGATGAGATCCTGGATAGAAACTGGCTGAATGACAGGGTGGCTGCTGAGGGTGGTCTCTTGCTCGGGGGTCAATGTCTGAGGAGCCTCCCCAGGCTCAGAGTCTGGGTGCTGCCCTCCAGGTGCTTGCTGGGACTGGGTGATGGTAAGGGAGGGCTGGGCAGCACCATCACTGAAGTGGGTGTGCTCCAGCGTGCTGATGTACTCACACACCCTGGGGACACACAGGAGAAGCAAAAATTAAAAAACACCCCAAAACAACTCCTCCCTGCCCTAATCACAAGACATTTTCCTCAAACCATAAACAGATGCTTTCTAACTCTCAAACTACACAGAGATAACCTTTCTTTTTACACATAGATAACCTTTCTTCTTTGGCCTCCCATGTGCCTAGACAGCAAATAGTTTGGCGGAGGTGCCTGAAAAGCCCATTTAGGTTCCTGAGTCTGCCACAGTCTTCTGGTAACTTTGAAGCTTCTAAGCATTTTGGAAAACAGCACCGTCTTTTCTTTTAGAGGTACATGCAGTTAATTCACTCTGACACTGTTTATAGAGAACATTCACAGAGATTGCAAAGCTCTTTTTCTCAGACCCTTACTTTCAGGCAACATGGCCTGAATTCTGGCTATTTTGGGAAAGCTGGTGAGTACCTGAATACATGAGGCCAACAGTCCTGATTATGGCTTCCCATCTCCAGACCCACATTAAGGACTGCATCCATACACAAAACATGAGCAGTGTGCAGGCAGACTCCCTGCACTTTCCCCATCTGCTCCAGTTTCTGCTCCACTTTCTGTTTCACTGTAGCATAAAAAAAAATTAAAATTATCTTCTTCAGCTTTTGAACAAACACTGGTTTGTATACAGGGTGATGGCAAAGGATTACAATCTGAAATCTATAAAAGAACATAAATTTCAGGCAAAAAAAACCAAAAAAACAAAAAAACAAAAAAAACAAAAACCCCAACCAAATCAGAGAAACCCATTTCTTCCTAATAAACCTAAGGTAGCTTTAAAACTAAAATCCTTTTTGACTGATCCTATATACTTGAAAAAATGTATGAAAAAGTGAAAATCAGTGCTAGATTGACACCCTCCACCCCAAATTCACATCCTGTTGCTGACAGAACAGTTGCAGATTGCTAGTCTCTTCAGAGATGGCTGACTGAATATTTATTTTTACCAAAATCTCCTTTGCTATGGAAACAAAAAACAGCATTTGTGGATTTCATATGTATTTCCATACAAAAAATTTCACCGAAAAAGCTCTTGTCAAAGTAAAACTAATCTTGATCTGAGCTACAACATTTGGATCTATTCATTTTTTCTGAGAATCCCTGAAAAGCTTCATTTTCATGCTGCACTGGAATGGAAACAAGTTTTGAAGCTTTGCAAGCTTTCACAGAACAGATCTGTTTGCCTCTGGCCACTGCTGCTGCCTCCTCTTTGATTCAGCACAGTCTGGCCATCTCGCTTCAGCCATGTCCAGCAGAGCAGTCAAAGGCTTGTTTAAGCTCAGGCTTTTTCAGTTTTGTTTTCTCTACCAAGACACCAAATTTAAGTACCAAGCACGGTCATTTGTGCAACACTGTCTTTTGTCACGGGCTTCTTGCCATTAGAAATCAGATGTAAACAGAGAAATTTTGTGTACTTCTTCAAATAGTCACTGGAGGCTACCACTGGGTTTGAAATGGTGGTACAGAGATGCAGAACTTTTTATATGCTAAAAAGGCACATTTTTAATTCCATTTTAATCTAACATGATTCAGAAGTTTTAAATATCTGAAGATGATGATAAAAAATAATCAAGGATATATAAACCACACAGGGAGAGTGATGCAAACTCAGCTTACATTACCACCCAACACACAAAAATCCCCAAATAAGCTGTTGCTCTGATGCTCTCTGGTTGTACCAGCATCACAAGGTTTAAAAACCACACGTTGAAAAATGCTGCTGGCTTACGCATTGTTCCACTGATTTAAGTTCCATATAGAATATAATTAGTGGGACATAAGGTTAAGAACTTAGGACAGCAGGCACGTACTGAAGACAAACATCCCACGTGCCTACAATCAAGTGGTGTACAGCAGAACAACAGAGGGAAATGCCACTATGTGTGGCAAAGTGCTTTCCAGTTGCAGCTTCACAGGCAATGTAAGATGAGGTAGGTAATTTAATCATGTAGTTACCTTGAGCTATAGCATCACTGGGTTCTTGGATTTCTTTTTCCTCTTTCTCTTCTTGGACACAGGAGGCCGCAGACATTTGGGCAAGAGCAGATGCACAGTTAGCAGCAACTCCTGTAAGGCAACAACACAATTACTGTATGACCAACATCTCTTCCCAATCCCATACACCCTCAACAAGAGGTAGGGTCAAGAAAAGTTGGCTGGATATGTTTATGCTGTAGGGCACTCTATGTGTATTGCCACCATCCCTGTTCCTGTGCAAAACTGGAGGAGGATGATGCATTTCTTTCTCCCAAATTCCTTCAAGGAAAGTTACCATCCTATTCTATGAGTCTGCCATGACATCCCCCATGCAGCATTACCTAGAGCACAGCTCAGCCGGGCTGCCCTCCTTAGTCCATCCAGGCTCACGCAGATGGAGTCCTTCTCCTTCTGGTTCTGCTCTTTGGCTCCTTCTGCTCCCAAGATGAAGGCCAGTCCCTTGGAGCTGCCTGCCATGCGGCCAGTCAGCGGGGTGGACAAAGTGTCAATCAAGTTCTTCCAACAGCCAATTAAAATGTATCGGGCAAAAGCAATTCCTAGAGTGGAAAAAACATTAATACTATTAACTACAAGAAAATGGCACAACAGAAGCTTTATCATTAGTGGTAAAAAGCAAGTCACATTTGTCCTCTGCACGCTGAACTGCCAATTCACATGTACGATGTACTGATATACTTTCTTTTTAAATTGTTATTCTACACTTTTTATCTGCATATGCTTTTGGTACATAACAACCCACTGCTGGATAACAAACTCATAATACAGTCTTAATACCTGCAACAACAGAATCATCTGTCTTCCGGTTCTGGGAAAGAGGAGATTGAGCTGAAGCAGATGCCATCAATTGGCCACCAATTGCACTGCTGCCCAAGCCGTCGATGTCTGCCAGAACATTAAAAAACATCAGATTACTATCTGACACACAGATGGCACGAGGAAAGCATGTCTTACTGGCTCTGTGTTCAACTAAGTACTAGCACTCCTGATTTCTCAGGTGTGCTTTTTGTTACTCTTTTTGGCAACCTTCTAAAGCCTTGGTATAAACATGAGCTGTGGCATCTTAGGCTTTGCCCAGTATAGCCAATGTTTTGTTGAACAGGGGAGACATCCCACTCTCAAAAGTTGCTCTCCCCCCTCTTCAAGTTACACAGTGAACAGAACTTCCCGTAGAGATTTCAAGGTATTTCTTACAGTTCAGAACTTACCACACTTAAATCTCTGCATTTCTTAATACAGTATTTCAAATCTTGCTAAATCCTTTATATAGATGTTTTCAGACCTCAGTCTGAGTCCTCAAGATGCATTGCGATCCTATGTCCTAAATCTGATTTTTAGTAGACCTAGGCATGCTCAGTCTCAACAAAAGAAATACAACCCTTTCTCCAACAGAACAAAAGAGCTGTTTCTCACAGGGAGTTTAATATTAGGGACACCAGGTTGATTTCCTTTCTAACAAGCCCCATCTCCACATCTGGGTATAATTTTTTTCCAAGCGTTTCTTTCCTCCTACCAGCTCAGTAGCTAAAAGTAACATTGAGCTCAATACAATAACCAAAAACTTTCAGAGCAGTGCCCTTTGATCACCTTTTACTGTCTCAGCTGAAGCCACTGTTTTCCCTGCATACACTATTTTAATTACAGACACATTAAAGCAGACAGTGCATTTTATATCAATACAGTATCATAGCCACCCTGCTGTCTTTCAGCTGATACAATTTGATTTTTTTTCCCCTCAAATGAAGCTAAGGATTGCTTCTAAGCATTTGTGCTCCAAGTTTTCAGCTTCTCTCTAGTGCCATTTGGCATATCCCTGGCATAGCTCAAGTCTGAACCAAGGGGAGTCCAATCTGTGGAAGGCTTCCAGGATCAAATGCCACTACTTATATTTGTACTGCACCACAGGCACACTGAAATGGCTTTTCTATGACATCAAGAAAACAGCAGCCTTACTGTTTATCATTAACAAGTATCAACTCTACCAGAATTGAAGCTGACAGAATTAAGAGATGTTCTGCTTCAGTGAACAAAATTAGTCTCCCTGTCTCCCAGGGACAGTTTTGATTTTTTTTAAAACCTATGCTTCACAACCACTCTGATGAGCCAAAACAAACACTTAAGTAGTTGGCCACAGCTAGGTCTGGCTCCTTCTCTACTGATAATTCCACAAGACACCACATACTGCATGATGACATGCTGCTCTGTATGTAATGCAACAAAGCAGTGTGTCATTGTAGCTTGTTTTAGACACAATTGGAAGATAGCCGTGCCATGATAATACTGTACTGACCTGTCAGCATGCTGATAAGTGGAAGGTTGTGCTCCTCAGGGCTTCCCCAGTATCCAGCTTCCCCTAGCATGTTCCTTTCTAGTACCTGGTGGTACAGTTCTTCAACCCATGCCTGGGAAAATACCATCAACACTCCACTGGACTGGACCTGCTTCATGAACTCCTTCTGCAGAGAGCCATAAAAGCCAAACGTAAGACAACAGTGTAAGCCCTACAGCATCAGCCCCCAGATCTACTTCTGAGTAAAAGGTTGCAGAAGTAGAAATTAAGTTATGAGAAGGATTAACAGAGGATCGCAATCTTAGAATTGTTAAGATTGGAAAATATCTTTAAGATCATCAAGTCCAACTGTCAGCACAGCACCATCACCACATTCACCATCAAACCATGCCCTGAAGTGATACACCCAGGTTTTCTGAATGCTTCAATGGGCAGTTTGTTCTTCTTCCTTACAAACCCTTCCATGAAAAGAAATTTCCTAGTATCTAATCTAAACCTCCCCTGGCATAACTTGGGATCATTTCCTCTAGTCCTGTGACTTGTTACCTGGGAGAAGAGGCCTACCCCCACCTCACTACACCCTCTCTTCAGGGAGCTGTAGACAATGAGAAGGTCTCCCCTGAGCCTCCTTTCCTCCAGGCTAAACAACGCCAGCTCCCTCAGCCACTCCTCACAGGGCATGGTCTCTAGACCCTTGACCAGCTCTGTTGCCCTTCTCTGGACTCTCTCCAGGACCTCAATGTCCTTCTTGTACTGGGAGTCCAAGACGGAACATAGGATTCAAGGTGCAGCCTCACCAACAGAGGGACAATCCCCGCTCTGGTCCTGCTGGCCACACTATTCCTGATACAGGCCCAGGATGCCATTGGCATTCTTGGCCACCTGGGCACAGCTGGCTCATGTTCAGTTGGCTCATAAGCACTCCCAGGTCTTTTTCCCCCAGGCAGCTTTCCAGCCACTCTGCCCCAGCCTGTAGTGCCACAGTGGGTTCTTGTGATGCAAGGGCAGGATCTGACACTTCACCTTACTGAACCTCATACAATTGGCCATGCCCCATCAACCCAGCCTGTCCAGATCCTTCTCTATCTGTCCCTGCAGTGGAGAATGACATGAACATGAACAGCTCTCCCTTCTCCTACTGCAGTTAATGCAAGATGCAAATCAGAATGACAGTTTTTGCACAGTGACAATGGGACAATAGCGTGGAAATCTCTCGCTATTTCCACAAGGTAGGAATAGGATCTCAAATCCAATTAAAAGAAGTTGTGGCACCTAATGCAGCCTGCCCAACAACTGGGCCTTTCTGCATTGAACAGTCATCACAGATTAACTGGTCTCCAATTATTTATCAGAATGATCTCCGAGAGTACTTTGGTCATGCTCAGGCCTGTTGTGCACACTGAATCCTCTAGAGAACGTCCTGAGTAACAGATCTGCACTTGATCTGCTGCAGAACACACCAGAACTAAGGATGATGCTAAACTCCATTTGTTTTTGACATTATATATAGATTATAAATTCCCTTACACTGGAAGTTCAGCAATAATTATATATTTTGACACCTTTCTTTATTTTTTCCATAAATATTTTTTTTGTTGTTTTTCAGAAAACTCTGAAAAAATATCTCTTGGGCAACTAAGTTGAAAAACATGGATGAATGTTTTCAAAAGTGTTTTTAAAAAGCCCAAGAAGTGGAGGCATTCCAGGTGTAACAAAAATAATAATTTCACATTACTAAGACCTACTTATTTTTCAGTTTAATTTGTCATGTATTCATCTACAGAAATTCAAATCAAGTATTAGGCAAAATAAACCAGTTACAAGATGAACATATGTTCATGCATATTGTCAAGAGACAATACTTGCTATATCACATGATGCTAATCTATTCTGAAAATAGTTTAACCATCAAAATGACTGCAACCTTAATGACAATCAGTAAGCAGCATTCCTTCCCACCAAATCACAGAGTAATTCAGATGCACGACACTTATCATGCAAGATTCATAAGCAGCTTGGAGAACGCTTCATTTGCAATTACTATTTCTCCACTTAGCAAGCAGCCTGAAGGCTTTATGTGTGGGCTGGTTTATGTGAAAGGAAGCAAAATAAATTTTCATTTTTTAAAAACAATGATCCCACATTCCCCAACTCACCAGCACCACAGGGGCTTGGGCAGGCTTCTTCCTGTAGTAATCTGAGTTCGCCAATTTTAGGTTGAGCAGCAAAGTGTAATGTGATACCACGTAGAGACTGTCTGCATTCATCAGAGTCTGGAAGTTGAAATTTAGGTTTCCCTCAAATCCTGGTGAGTGCATCATACCTAACAAAAACACCATGTGAGCTCTCATATTTTACACAGATTTTTCCTGGAAAAAATATCAGAAACTATCCCTAGCATTTTGGCAGCAACAGATTGCTAGAATAGTTAATGAATCATCAGTAGAAATTACTCTACTAAACGTACTAGAGTAGGCGATAGAAAAATAAGTAGTTCATCAAGAATGCATGACAAACTGAACACTCCAGTCACAGTCCAGCAAGACAACGTGCTAAATTTGAAATAAGCAAGGAGCACCAGCATTCACTGGGATGACTGTCATGTATAAAAGCAATGGGCAGGATACATCTGCAATGCTAACTAGAAAAGTGAGGTAGAAAGGAGCAGACCCAAAGCCTGTGTACTTAAATGAAAATACACGGCACCAAATGGTGCTAATGAGATTAATGGCCCTTTTAACCCCCCAGTAAACCCGTTCTGGCTAAATCATTTGCTGGATGGGGACTGGAGTGCTCCACACCTTGCAAGATCAGTCTGCAATTGTCATTCTCTCCATGGCCTAGAGGTATGTGGACAAATATCTGGGGCCAAGCTGGCTGGAACTAGTTACAACTCCGAGCCCTATTTATTACATTCAAAGCCTACTTTCTAAATGGCTGAGCACTAGCACTTCTGTCAGACCCAGAAACCACCTGTAAAGTACTCACTAGTCCTGAAAACACTATTTGTATGAAGCCTACAACCATGCTCAGTGGCACAATCCCTTCTTCCCATGGATGTCAAATAGCTGATCTACTGGTAGAAAAATATCAATCAAGTATGAGCAACACCTAATTGAATCCCCATGATTTGCAGTCTGAACCATGAAAAAACCAGAAATACCAGATCCACCCACATAACTCACAATATTTCATGGTTTTCACATCAACTGTGAAATCCACTCATATAATGTCAATTAGGGAAGATTAAGAAGTCAGCTTTATCCTAAAGGAATGTTTGAAATGGAAAAAAACCAGCTTCCAAGGTTAGTTACATGATGAAGCAAAGCTGTGTCATTTGTTAACGGCTGTATTGGTTTACTGTGAATATATTCCTCCCACCATAAAGCTCATACCTCTTCTTATACAAAATACAACAAACCATTAACAGTAAAAAAAAAAATAAAAAATCCACACACAGAAAAGAAGCAAATGTTTTTCTTGCCTCGTGAGGGTTTGAAAGCTCTGTGCTGCTGCCTTCTCGGACTTTCCACTGTCGTCACTTTGGGGGCGTGGATAAGGTGAGTAACTGTTTGAGGGTGGATTTAGAAAGAGAGTAACTGTTCCAGGGTGGGTCTAAAAAATGAATACCTGTTCAAGGGAGCAACCTTTGTGGAAGAAGGGTGACAGGGTTGGCCACAAACCACACCCACACAGGCTGGCATTGCTTGGGGTAGATTTCTCATGGTGAATGTCAAGAGAGATCCTTTACCTGGTACCAAAACTGCAACCATGTGCTTGAAAGTACCCTGTGAGTAGCTCTAGTGATTTCTTCATCACTGAAAACAAAGATGCATCTTAACACTCTGTAGGATGGAGGACCATGATATTGATGTATATATCTCATCTCCCACTGGTTTTTTGTCTTATCTCTCTTAAATAAGTACCTCAGGGACTAAAACCTGCTACAGTAATAAAAACCTCAAGGCAGAGACGTATGTAAAAGTAAAAAAAAAAACCAAAAAACAACCAACCAAACAAAAAAGCCCATTTTATTTTGCATTAAAATGTTTTTAAAAATGTGCAACCTCCTATACAAGATTACAATTAAAAATGAAGGTGTAGAAGTGCACAGAAAAGTGGATACTCTATTGAGGGCATGTATTTGAGCACCAAAAAATGTTGGGGAAAAATATGTTCCTTACCTTCCTCTAAAATATGGGAAAACAAACAACTGCATTTGTGAGATGCTGAGATCACAGAAGCAGAAGATAAGACAATACTTACCAGCATAAAAACCTTCTCTCTAAAAAGTATGGAATCAAAACTGAAGATGGGCTAACTTACTCCTAACTTTAGAGTTAACCAGCTTACTTGCAAGTTTTAATTTCACTACAACTCTGTTTACCTGACTACACCTTTTCCATGCTTATCTCAGCAGTGCCTCAAATTCCTACCTCCATTCATTGCCTTTCAATCCTATGAAAATAGCCTAATTTTGCAATGCTATCTATATAAGGAGCTGGCTTGAAAGAAAGAATACTGAATTGTATTTTTCTTCCAAATTGTAAGAAAAGTCAAAAAAATGAAACAAAGCAGTTAAATAAGGTCTCCTAGAAACACAAAAATACTGCTTCTGTACTGACTGGTCTCAGAACTGCATCCATGTCTTTTCTCAACTCAAATCTTAACCAACTCTCAAATTTCTCCATGTATTTTTCAAGAATTATACATTAATAAATATTGTCTATACAATGAATGGGATCAATCCCTCTAGCTTCATCACCTAATCTGTGCCTTCACCAGCTAGTGCTAATGAAGGACTCCTAAAGTAAGGACCTACACATTGCTTATAGAGGCAGATCACACTGGTGTCTCAGAAGCTCTCCAGGGAACTTCTTACCCCCTGACATTTGTTTCAACTTTCCTAAGTGTCTCTCTCTAAAGGTTTTTAAAGTCATGGCTCTCTCACCTACACAGGAGCACAAGCTCTCACCTCGGGAGGACTGATGGACATTTGCTTAAGATCTGAGGTGCAAGTTAAGAGACTGTTTCAGCTGGACTGAATCTCATTCCAGGTGTCCAACTGAAACAGGAATCACCCAGATCTTATGAAAGCGTAAAAGTACGACCCTGCAACAGCCACAACTTCATGAAAACTCCAGGATACCTCTTCCAGGCTGTCTTAATACAGTGACTCGCTACTCCACTTTTCCATGGTTCCTTACTGAATGGTGTTTTTTTTACAAGCACATCACAAAATCCATCAGGAAACATGTACATTTTTAAAGTACAGATTTAGCCACAGGGGTGGCTTTCTTAGAAAAGTGAATGACCTCTCTCAACAAGTCCAAGACTAGGTATCTTTTTAAGATGTACAAACCACAAATAATGGATTTAATGCAAAAATTGAGTTATATTCTTCCATTTTTCTCACTGTATTACTCATACTAAATGCCAAGAAAAGCTAGGTTTACCCTTAAAATCTAGAATTCTCCTAGGTCCACATCTTCTAAAGCTTTAAAAGCACTCAATAAAGACTTTACAGACCAAAGGGGAAAGAAGTGGCATACTCATTTATGCACAAGGGAACAGGTGCACATAGGTTTGAACTAGAGGTCTATCACTGGTCTTTCATCATAACCTCAAGATTACCCTTTTCCAGGAAAAAAGAAATAACTGTGACAGAAAGGGTGCTCTTGAGCCCCTCAATCAGGAAAGTAGTTAACATTAGTGCCTCTTCTAAGGTATTTCCCTTCTGTGATATAAAATAGCCAATGTTTCTTAAGAATACCATTTATGATCTTCCTGAGTTAATGTTTATTTGGGTAGCATTTAAACAGGATATCAGGAATATCATCTTATTCACCCAGCTTCATATCTAAATTATGCTGATTGATGATGGGAAGAGTCCCCCCTTCTGACTCTGCATGAGTATAATGTGTGTGGGAGAGCACAAATGAATGAAGCAATGATTAGGAGACGAGCAATAGGAAAGGCAAATGCAGTAAAGTAAGTTAAATAAACAGACATATTTTAGCAAACATTTTCATTTTGGCCATTGTCAGGAAAGCAAAACCCTTCTAAAAATATATATTTACACACATCTTAAATATGCTATCAACAGGACAAACTAGCCTTTGCATGACTTTTTTTATTTGTTTGACAGGTCAAGATCCCAAATGTTCTAATAATGAAAGAACTGAAGATATTTAATCTCTTAGAAGGCAAAATCTTAATTTTTCTCTTGGTCTGGGCTTTGAGCTTTGCACTTCCTGTCATATTAGATACCAGCATTAAGAAAAACAAAAGAGTGAAGACAAACTCTCCTCTTTCCCTATCCTTTCTAGAGCTTACTGCTGTGGAATTGTTACCACCCTCTTTGTGAGGCTGGCATTACTCATAATATCAGTTTACTAAGCTGCTTGTATCTCATTACAAACAGGTGATGGTACTTCCCACACTCCTCTCATGCTAAGGGGCCACTCTGACCTCTCTTTAGTGAGACCATGTGCAAAGCTTCTCAACAGAACTTCACAAACCTGCAAAGAGGTATCTTGCTACAACTAACTCTATTTCTTTATTGATTCAGGACATAATCCAGAGTCTATTAAGAGTCAATGGATTTACCTCCCTTTGGATCAGTGCCTACATACTCAATTTGTTTTGCCCTAAATGAAGTATGTTCCTGTGGAGGAATGTATGGTGTAAAGCCCAAACCTCCTCATTCTGGGTATGTTCTCTGAAGATGAAATCCTACAAGGGAATCTGTGTACAGTGCAGTCAGAGTGTGCATGCTGGCTAGACAGTAAGTATTTGCTTGCAAACCTGAGCAGAATGTTGAAGAGAAGCTCTGCAGTGCTCCATCCACTTCTTCTATGCTGGGAAGAGCTATAAGCCTAGGAAGAAGCGCTTCAAGTGACTGGATGAAGAGCCGTGCACTGTGTTGGTCTGCTTCTTGGCTCTTCAGCAACTTCAGAGAGAGAGCAGCAGTGCGTAAGGACCTGTGACCTGGGCAATCCCGTGGGGTCTGCTCCTCATCAGCCAGGGAACAGTTGTCAGAGCCTATGTCTGAGACATCAGACCTGCCCGAATCCTTTTCTGCTGCCATGGAATACTGATCACATGAATCAAACTCAGTCCTAGAAAGGTCCTGGTCATCTACACTGAAGTTACTTTCACTGTATCTGGATCCATAGGACCGGGTCTTGCAATCAACTGATAAAAAGTTAGTTATATCTGGATAGACTATGGTGTGGCTTCTTTGAACAACATCTGGCTGGTCAATGGTTTCTGACTCTGGTTCTCTGTAATGAATCTCTTTGCTTTCATGTCCAGCTGGAGATGGCAGGGAGTTTTTTTGATTTTCTGTATTATCCTCTGGAGTTGTTTGTCCCATATCCCCTTCCAAAGTAGTCTGACCAGTGTCTGTGGTAACGCTAATGCTGATATCAGGACTCTTCTCATTTCCTGATTCCCAGGCAGGGTTTTCCGAGGACAGTATGCGTCTCTGCCACCTGAAGTCAGCATCATTGATCTCCATGGAGTCCCTGCTTGTCTCGGTCCCATCCTTCAATTCTTCCAAGCGCTGGAGCAGCAGCTGGATCTGCTCTTCACTAAGACCCCTCCCTTGGCTCAGCTCATCTAATGCTCCAAGCAGGGCAAAGACGCAGGACACTGAAGCATAGCACGCTTCAATACCACCTTTGATGCACGCTTCCGTCATCCCATCCATGATACTACAATAAACACAGATTTCAATTAAGTGATGCAACATGTATGGTGAGCATGTCACTGTCATTCAACACCATCTTTCCATAACCAGGAAAAGAAGAAGTGAACTTATCCTTTAAGACTATTCCTGAGAAAGACAATTAGTGTAAGAACAAATTATAAAGTCTCCCATGCAGACATGGTCATTCTGTAAAGGGAGTGCCAACAAGGGAAAGTTACCACGCATTCATACCATCATGCACCGCATGTTCTCTCTTACAGTCAAGCACTTAACTAAAAAAAATCTCAACACCCAGTTGAACTAAATTTAAAGGCCATCTGTGCCCTGAAAATGATCCTATCTACAAGGTATGATCTTTATAAGAACTGAGAACCCTTCTTGCTCAATGTGACGATGTTAAAATTTTCTATGACCTCCTTTGACTTCATCTTGAAAATATACCTCTAAAGAAACACACATTTATTTTAGTGCAAATTTAAGGACACATACTCAAAAATTTCCAGCTGTAAACCAACATATTTGGGAATTCTGGAAAACTCAACAAGATAGTTATCTATGTCTTTACAAACAGACCCAGACTGATGACAAACCAAGCAAGAGCTTTTACACCTTTTCCATTCTCAGAGCTTATTTAACCAGGCAGATACCCTGGCTCATACTGGGTATGCTCCTGAACTGCTTAAGTGTTCTGTGTGCACAGGTTTAAGACAGAAGAGGATAAAGGAAGAAACAAAGCGTACAGCTTGAGAAGATCCAGATGGGACTTTCTTTTAGAAATAGACCTCTTCTTGGATTCTGACTCAGAAGAGCAGGGCCCTGCCAAATCACAAAGCTGCCGAGGACTGCCAAGTATCTGAAAGGAAAGGAAACAGAAGTAAGTAGAAGATTATCTAAGCATTATTTAAATACAATAAATAAGTCATAATTCTATCAAGTCCAAGATAGCACTACTGTAATTTCTCACAGCAAATGAAAATGGCACAGCGATGTTCTACTTATTGAAGCTACTTTCCTCTTTTTAGACACAGAAATGCAAGTAAAGGAGAATATTCAGCAAGAATCCCATTTAGAATGTTCTCCAGTGCTTTACATTTTTGACTGATATTTTTCATCTGATACTGCACACAAGACAATTTTTATGCCTACATAAGTATTTTTTTATTATAGTTTATACCAAAGGAAGCCTCTCTCCTCAGCCACCTAGTTATGCAATTTTGGAGTCATGGAAAGATAGGCAAAGTGACCAGACTCAACCTGCTAGGTGGCACCTTGTTAATGCCCACCAGGAAATACAAACAAGCATGTACTAATAAGCCCAAAGAAGCAACAGGTATGTCCTGCACAAAACAACACTAGACAAAGCTTTTCCTAAAACTTCAGTTATCATCTTGCTATTGTTTAAAATTAGAGAAAGACAGTGACAGAATGACTCCTAGTTTAGATAGGAACCAAGTGGGTGGCTGTGTGGTGTTAAGTGAGATTTTTCAGAAATAGAACAGCCTAGGTATGCACAAGCTAGATGACAAATTCTCTAGGAGATACCACTGCTCCTATAAATTACACAAATTTCCTTGTTTTCCACAACATTAGAAGAAAGGTGCCCATGAGGAACAGAAAAGTCCATAATTTCAGCTAGTGCTGAAACAAGTCTCCCAGTGTTTCACTTCTAGTGCTTTCAGAGACACTGGGAAAGAGGCCAGAATGGACTGGTCTTGAAATGGCTTCTTAAGCCATTGGCAGCTTTCTTGTATCTATTCAAAAAAAGCTCCAAGAAACTGGATTTCAAAAACTGGGCATGTAATCAAAGCATATATTCACCTTCATGCCTGGAAACCACACTGTGAGGATGTGTCTGGGGAAAGATGCCAAAGAAGTTGCAGACTGGATCGTTATGCTCTATCTCACCCAAAAGAGCAGTTGTGACTCAGCGATAGGATCTGCTCCATGCAGCACCACAGCATGAACACTGACGGAGCTGCCACGGTAGCTTGGTATTATGGAGACAAATACAGCTATTACAACTGCATCAAACTATTTGTCAGAGTGGTGCTGATGTACCAGCTGTGCTCAGAAAGGACAATTTCAACATCCCTAGGCAGGAAGGTTTGAAATGCATTGGTGTGCACGTATCGGCAAAACTTACTGTTAAATAAACACTTTGTTTTACATGCCTGGATTTGCACATGTGATTGTCCTACCTCTTTCATAATTTTGATGGCTTCTACTCGATGTTGAGGTGGTGGGTAAAGCAACATCCGGTGATACAGAGACTGTAGCACAGGTTTCATGGATTCCACTGACCCCACCAGTCGAACCAGTTCTGCTGCAATATAATATATGGTCCGTGCAACGGGCCCACTAAGGGCAGGTGCTGTGGAAGAGCAACCTGAACCCCGGCCATGATCAGAGATCCCTGAGGAAGGTGAATCAGCCTCAAGGCAGATGCTGCTGTGGGCAGAGATGATAGTTTTATCATGGATTGGATTTCCCAGGATTACTATTAGGGCTGGACACAGTTGCTTCCTGAGAAAGAGAAAAGCAGCAGATGGTAGCTGGAAAAAAAATACTCTTACAAGAACAGATTGAAAATAGCCCATGGTTAAATGGGATACACACTCTTGTTTTAATGGTCAGTCAAACAGCAGTGGTTAGATAGAAAAACAAATTATGCCAGGCTTTTTTCATCTCTCAAGCATCAGCATGCTAGTCCATATGGAAAGACCTCTGTGTACTGTAGAAACATGGCAGTGATTTTGCAAGTTCATGTTGCTGCACAGTGCTGTCCCTTTGCAGGATAGCAGCCTGCCTCTTTCACCAGCTGCAGCCCATCACAAAGTAGAAATTCTAGGCTTCCACTGCTCAGTGTCTCTTTTTCAATTCACCTTGGGAGATTTAAAAAAACCTGACAAAACAAGAACTAATTTATGTTAACCAGAAGGCTGAATGTTCAACCACTGAACTGCACATGCATTATTTTAGTAAGCACCCTTAGTTGTGAGTCTCTGTTTGGCTGTCTTTTAAGAACATAATGCAAGCCCTCTGCAATAACTCAAAGTGTGCACTATACTACATATATGCCACTATACAGTAAATACCCATTCTTCCTTCAACTGTCTAACACTCATGTTAAGAGATTCAACACCAGCAGATCACTCTTCTGTGGGACCAAAGCCAGCTCAGCGCTTTGATCCATTAGCTGCTCTCTCAGCTTTGCACTCACACACTTGACATTTTACTTCAGTCTGCAAGACCTTAATTTAAGAAGCCAAGTGCTGCATGAGAACGAGTCCCAAATCTGGTTTTCACCCACGTCTCAGAGGTTTAAGCGAGTACCTAGAGCAAGCACCCTATTACAAGTAACAATTCATAAAACACATCCTCATAGGTAACTACATTTTATTTTCTCAAGGTTTAATGCAGTCTAGAATTTTCATTGCTTCTCTTAACAAGATATCTGAAACAGCTCAGCTTCCCTAAGTCATGGAAAGAAAGCTTTTAATAGGACATCAGATAATGACTTTGAATCTGCTTATTCCATTTATTTCTCCAATCAAGTACATTTCAAAACGTAACAATTCACTGCTTAAGAAATATGCCTGTCTCAAAGCAGGCATAATCACAGGTTGCAACAAAATATTCCCCACACGTCTTAGTCCTGTCAAAGTATTTCTGTATCAAACTATGGAGAATGCTGTCAGCACGCAGAGCTAAATCTTCTCTGTCTGCTCTCTTCTTTATCTTCTTTGGGAACTGACTACAAAGTGCCCATCAGAGTGAAAGCTGTGTGCATGAAGGGAACAGCTCTTTAAAGAAGAATGACAGCTACCAGTTTGCATCACAACCTCACCAGACAGCTAATGTATTAGTGTGTATAAAATGTTCAAAACGATGTTTGCAGTTTAAACTGTTTTGTATCTTCCTAGTGTTTTAGGGTTTTTTTTTCCCCCTTAAGCAGGTAGCTGAAGCATGCATGTTCATTCCTTGGCAGCAGTGCAGGTTAAGAAGTCCCACTCCTGATGGCTTGCCCTCATGGTACACAGTTACAGATACAAACACCTGTAGATGTGCAGCATAAACTGGATCGCCAAAAGCATGTAAATTGAAAATAAAACAGGAAGTGTTTTCTTTTAACTGAGATAATTTCTGTGACCTTGCTCACAGAATGGCCCCACAGCCTGTCACATAAGCAGAAAAAAAAGGGCTGGGTGAAATTCAAAGGCAGAAACTTCTGAAGTGAATCTGCCATGAGAGAGTTCTGCTCTTATGTTATACCTCAGCACTGGGTTCTTGTGCAACACTACCAAGTGTTACCAGTCTGAACACCTCCCAGTCTTGCTGCCACTGATGTTCCTGGGACAGCAGGGGAGTTATGGGTGCCTCTACATGTTCCATCCTTAGAACTGGGCCCAAGTCAATCACTTCAGTTACAAAAATTACAGGGTCAAAACACAAAAAACATATTTGTCATTAACTGTCACATATATCTTTCCTTAATACAATCACCTGACAAGGTCAAAAGATGGGCACAGACTGCAAGAAACTGCATATTAGTTACATTCTTGCTTTATTACTATGACTCAATTATCCACAGGCTATAAAACCCCCACTATTTCAATCACAAGGAAGGCAGGATTATTTCAGGTGCTTTGATGTGATGGTATCAATTTAGAGGTAGATACGAACACCAAAGACATCAATCCTTCCTTGTGACGTGTATTAAAAATGAGAATTTCTTGATAAAATAGAAGCAACATTAAGACTATTTAGCCACAAACCTTACACAATGCAGATCCTAATAAGCATTTCTGGTCACCAGCACACATTTGACATTAATTTTGCTTATCTTCATGTATTATTGTATCAGAACATTAAGAATCTCAACAGTACCCTCCTACAACAAGCAGAGCATCTCTGTGTTCAATGCCACATCCAAATCCAAACTACTGCAGAAAGCATAAGAGGTTTTCTGTTCTGGTTAAATCCATTAGACCTCATTACAGTGATAATTCACGATCAAGATTTAATGTGGCAGCTGAGCAGGCAGTCCTAACCAATTTTATGTGAGGCACAGAAGGAAATGATGGTAGATTAACAGCGATCTCTGCTCACACCTGGAGACTTTTTACAGGTTTTTTTGCAAGGCTGGGGGGAGCAGATCCTTTTACATTTACAAACTGAGTATTTGCATTAGTCTTCAGATGTACTCACCATATTAGATCAGTGAATCCTTTGTGCTGGTGCATGCTGGGGGAGGAGCTGTTCAGCATGGAGAGGATACACTCCAAGTAAAGAAGCTGAAGCTGACGATTGTCACTGGCAAAGAAAAGATGCCATTCACACAATATTAAAACAGATTACTTAACTTTCTAAAACAACCACATTAAGTTCACTTTAAAATTATACCACAATTTACAGTAGTGATTAATTTTCCTTCTTGCTATCAATTTACAATGGTATGATCACCTGTATCATCCCATTTATTTTGTACTGATCACATGCAGTGATCTACTACTTAAAAAAAAAAAGTGAAAAAATAGGGAGAATAAAACTCAAATAAGTACTCAAATTCAATCTAAAATCTTGGGAAGGAACCTGAAACAGAGGAAAAGGAGACAACAGAACATTTTGGACTATTGGTAGTTTCTTCAGGCAATCTGAAGCATGTTTAGGCTACTCTCTTCTGGTTTTTTTTTTTTTTCTTGGTGACAGCCACAATGGTCAAAAGGTAATGTCTCCAAGCAGAAAGTCCCAAGGTAACATGACTGCCTTTCAGCGCCTTGCCAGTAACTCTGTCACAACCATAAACTCAAAGAAAGTCTCATGACAAAGAATATTAAAGAACCTGCGGACACCTGGAACTGATTTACAGTACACTTGTAACATGTACTGTGCCTGCCCCTGCCCTTATTATCAGCTGCGGGATCCAGGACACAAGCAAGGCTGAGGTCCACCTTATGAAAGGAGAACTCCATGGCAAGTATACCCACAATATGTTTTCACTCCTAAGAAAAACAGGATTTAATAACTCTCTTTTGGTTAGACACGAGAGCTGGAGGAATGCACTTTCTGATATATGATTGTAGGTCAAGGAAGCTGTAAAGAATGGATTTATCTGAATCGAAATTAAGGAGTGAGAAATATCTGTTTTTCTGTAACTGCCTGAGTTCCTTTTGTTCACATACATGAATTTGTATCCAAGTACAATACCCATTTCACATGCCATGGAGAAAACACTGAATCCTGAGGCTCAAAGCTGGATTTCTAACTCTGCTACGGAGGGTTGAAAACTGCTGGCTTCTTATATTTTAAAGGTTATAGATTTTTCCTCACAACAGTCCACACCCATCTGGAAAGATACATGCATTCCAGGTACAGATGCCTTATTTCCCAACAGCTTTTCTTACAATGTGTTTTAACACAGATGATCATCACCTTGCAGTTGACACTTGCATGGGCATGCACAGGGTATCCCTGCACTCTTGATTTTATTTTCCCAGATGCTGACACTGATTAAATAATGCTAAGTAAGGATTCCTCTGTAATCCTGATGTTATTAGAGACACTCATGGGAAGAAAGCCTGCAAAAGAACTGCACATAGATGTCTGTGCTATCTTTGTCTCTGGTAGTTTCTGAAAATTGTACAGCATATAACACACTTACTGTCCATAACAACCACATTTTAGAAGTTAAGATCATACATTTTCAAGCAGGTAGAGTGTATGATATTCCTAAACTGGAGGAATCCTTTGATAGCACAAATTACTTCAATTAGATAAAGGCTACCTAAGAAGGACAGATTTATTCATTCTGAATATAGCATCTGTTAGGTCTTTCTACGGCTCTTGTAATTGTTACTCTCTCTATGATGGTTCTTCCAGTCAGAAAAGAAAACTTCTTCTTGGATTATTAGTATTTTGCTGCTGTATGGAAGTTACCTCCAGATTAGATTTACTGGAAGCTCTATAGAGCTGAACAGTGCACAAAGAAGGCAAATTAGCTCCTCATTTCAAGCGAGGATTAAATTAATGCATCATGAACAACACTTTCTCTAGTAAACACTTTATTTAAGCACAGCTTTACTCCGTCATTCCAGATCTACAACAGTACAATCACATACATCAGTGAAACTCTCAACCTCCAGGTAATAAATTGAAATTATAAACTTAAATAACTCACTTTATGACAGCCTGGAGCTTCTCACAGAGCACAGTGAGGACAGATACAACATCATCACAAAGAGATTCAGCTGAAGTACCTCCAAAAAGGACAAATATCAGAGGCATTACATATGAGCAGGTTGGATAACAACATCAATTAACTGCATGGATTTTCAGAGCTGGTCAGAGTTTCTAAATAAGGAGCAAGGCTACCAAAATTCAGATAAGATGTAGTTGGAAAGCAATCGCCACAAAATGCAAAAGCAGCAGTATTAAACCCAGAGAGAGCACTAATTGCTTACATGCATTTACAGAAGGTTAGCTGAAATCAAATTCAGATAATAAAATAAGTATATAATTAAATAGTAAAAAAGACTGGCCTCAGTTTTCTACATGGCAGCCAATTTCTGTATCTCTCCCTGCAGTTTCTCTTGCTTACACATTTTCTGATGTCTGACCATCTTCTGATCTTATAACAGAATGCCTGTGCTCTTCAAAGATTTTAGCCTCCATTCACACAAGTTCTACAGAAATCCTGAGTGAAGGTCAAAACCAGAGACTATTTGTCCTACTAGAAGATGTTGAAAATTAAGCCACAATGGGAATAGAAAAACATTCTCTTGTAAAATAAACACCAGGCAAGTAGTCATTATATGAACAATATCTTTGGCCTGAAATACAGTAACCATTGTTTTCAGATTCCACATTCTACTCTGGAAACCTATTTTATTTCAGGAAGTAAAGGCACTTATTAAAACTTTTTCCACACCACTGCAATCCCTTAATTACAGAAGTTAGCACCTTGAAACAACAATTTATTACTATGTTGAGTGCAATGCTGCCACCATGGTCCAAATGAAGACACAACTGGAAATATCAGGAGCTAACAGGGCTAGCTCAGTTCTTATCACAAGTAACCAAACTATAGACAAGTTAGAAAATCCTGAGGGTGCAACTCCCATCACAAACAGTACTGTGGTGATAAAAAGAATGTTGAGAATAAAAAAGCTGGACTGGAAGGAGTCACTAAAAAAGTATCACAAATACCTTGACTCTTGAATTTCTGCAAGGTGTCAGGGTTTTCAACTATCTGTTGAGGAAAGACAAAGGTGGTGTAATTGGTGCAAGGGGCAGAGGAACGTTATAGAAGCAATACTTTAACAGCAGAACTTTCTTAAATTCATGTCCTCTATCTGTTTTGGGCTTTTTGTTAGGGTTTTTAAGTGAACTTTTTGCAAAATATATTTAAAATTCCTTAAGAACTGTTTTAACAGCCATTTAGATTAAAGGAAATTGCATCTCATTTAGTTGAAAGTTTTGTAAGTCCTTAAGGGATTTCCTACACCTAGAACAACTCAGTAATAATTAGGCATATAAATTGCATTGAAAATTACTGAGAAAAAAGCATAGTTTAGACTTCACAAGCTACTTAGAAACCAAAATCAGTTGAGTATTAGAGAGTTTAGAACATTGACAATGTCAATGTTAACCAACAGAATTAATGGCAGCCAGGAAATGGAAATGACCTCATACATGATTTGGTTCAGCTGTGGTACAGGATTCTTCCTATCATGCACAACAGGGTCAACCCAAACTCTCTCAAGCATCAATAACAAAATGTCAGGAACTAAATGCAGTTCTCATATGCTTTTATCTACTCCTCAGCTAAGAAAATAACTAACAAAATTGAATCTGCAGACCCAAAATGTTTCTGTCTATTTGTTTGGGTTTTTTTTTTTTTCAGTAAATGCTTTGGCTAGTAAAATTAACCTACTTAGCACCAACAGGAGACAAGTTTACTTAAACTGTTTTTATCCTGCTGAGCAACTGCAAAAATAATAAATCAATCTAGTCTACTAATCCAAAATAGAAGTGTTCATCTTAACCCAAAACAGATGTAAGGAAAACAAACTGTACAACTACAGTCCTTAAATTTTCCTAATAAATAGAAACTGACTTTTACAAATAGTACTTCTTTGACAATATGGCTTTATACAAAACAGTACAAACAATGTAAGAAGCCAATGTAATTCCAGATGTACCCAGAACATCTGCAGTTGAAAATGTGCTGGGATGTCATTCAAACAGCTCTCATGGATTTTAATAAGGAAGTAAAATTTTTTTTTTTTTGCTAACAAAGAGAAAAATAATTTAGTAAGTTAAAATTTTCTTCTATTAAAAAGTAGAAGAAAAATCTCAATTACACTTTCCTTAGCTGAGAATCTGTTTTTGCTATGTAAATATTTGTCATGCAAAAGGTTTGGCAAAAGGATTTCAATACACCTTAGAAAAACAAGAAAACAAAATAAAAGAATGGAAAAGGCTGAGGCAGCCTGACATGAGAACAAAGTCTCTTTTATTTAATGCAAAGAAAAAAACAAACAAACCAGCCAACTAGAGTTGACAATGTGAGCGCTCCGAGGCAGGCATAGTCAGAGCCCAAAAAGGCTTTTAAACAGGATTAATTGAGGAAGTGTCAAATACAAGCCATAAGGCATTCAGATGAATGAGAACAAAACGCTATGCAGCCATGGACATGGAACCATTTGTTGATGCCAGAAGGCTCACCATGTTTTCCTGCTTTTGTCGTAACTGTAAAGTCAAGTCACTCAACATTTGGCTGAGGGTTGCCCGCACAGCGGTGTTAATGCTCCGCTGGTGACAGCTAGATACATATGTCTCAATGCAAACCTGATGAGGAAACAAGACAGCAGCACAAAGAGATCAACTCCCACTTACCAGGAACACTTTTTAGGAGGATACCAAGGTCTCTCACATGCAGATAGTCAGCCTTCCTAACTATTTCTTATTGCTTTATTAGCGCATTAGAAATTTTTAGCAGTCTTGGTTGGAAAGTCAAGTCACTCATGAGTCACACAGCTGCAGGAATGGTAGGGCAAAACTGGCAAAGTCTCCTGTCAAACCCAAGTGATTTTGGTACTTGTCTCACTTTGTACAGAACTCATTGAATGCTGCTTTGATTATTCATCTCTTGATACTTATTGTAACTACCTCGCTGCAAGTCTATGTGTGCAATGTAAATACCCTCCAATTCTTCAAGCTTGTTGCTTCTGATGTACAGGTATTTGCCACTTATTCTATTATAATAATTACATACCGTAACACATCTGAAAGCCTTTAAGGCCTTTCTCAACACAGGAAATACAATAGCACCTTACCATAAATAACACAAATAATTGCATTTTGATAACTGTCAATCCAGCAGAGGGCTCCTCTTCTCAGAGATCCCATGGGAACCAAGGCAGCAATACAGGAACACTGATGGATCATCCAGTTCCCAACTCCACACCCAGCTGCTGGCAGATCTCTGACAATGCCCAGAGTTATGCTTGACTTTTGGCCCAGGTGATGTTGCACAAATGGCTGCTAAAGTGTTACACAGCTAGGATCCTGGGGACAGCCCACTGCAAAGTGCAGTTTCTATCCTTCATCACATGTTTTGTGGGAGGACAAAGACCTCTGTAAGACCTGCTGTGACTGGAGTAAACAGTGTAAGCACATTGCGCAGTAACTACTAAGTAGATGAAAGCCTTGATGGAGCTGAGCAGGTTTGTGACAGAACTGTACAACACAGTCTTCTTAAAGAAGCAGTTTTGGTCCTTTGTCCTGCACTAAGCTTTATCATTCACAATGACAACAAGAATCCCCCAAATCCAAACCAAGCAACCAAAAAATAAAAGTAAATGACTGTTCACATACTTTTATATTTTTCAATTTTAGTGGTTTTATTCTGCCATTGTTTAGATATATATAGCAAGTAAGAACGTAAATATAAATGGAACTAGCTGTGAAAAATTATTAAAAATATTAGTTCTTAAAAATATAGATATGTAGTATAAATTATATGCATAAGGAGTATACATAAAGGCATCTGGTGTACATTTTTGAATGAGAAGGATATCATATAATGTAAAGTCATTTTTACAGCTCCCTAATGAGGATGAGTTTTTAAGAGGGGAAAAATTAAGGTGATCTGTTTACATAGTCAAATCAGTACTGACATGAGCACATAAACAAGACTCTTGATTGTTTCTAACTCTTATTGAAATGAAACCAAGCTGTCAATAGGTCATTGATGAAGACGTTCTTGTAAGGTGGCCTGGACCAATTCTGCCCATCATTCAGCTATCACTTAAACCCCAGTGGACAAAATAACCCTAAAAGCTTGTTAACTACATACAGCCCTTCACAGAGGCCAAACCATTCCAGTGCTGCTGAGATAATTGTTTTTGAACTGTAAGCCTTCTTCTAGAGTATCTGAATTAATTAATGAAGTACCATTCTTAGAGGTAGGCTGACTGTCTGGAAGGAGCATGGTTGATATCTCCTCCTTCTCTCCCCTCCCCATGCAAGCTAATAAGCAAACAATACTTGAGTTGCAATCTTACAGAAGGCCTGTGTTCTAAATGGCTAGACAAGGTACCTTTTGAAAAGCCACTGATGAAGAAGCAGCAGTAAAAATGCGAGAGCTCAGGGCTCCAAAGAGGTGTGCAATGGACATTTTGATCATTTCATGCATTCGGGGATTTCCAGCTCTATGGCATGCAAAACACAACTAAGAGCAAAACACAGACGGGTTAGCTAATGAAACACAACAGAGTTACACAAAATAAACCTCCAGAAGGCACACTGGAGCAACAAACACACACATAAAAACAAGCAACAGCATCAACTAAATTTTCCTGCAGGTGTCTAGGCAAGCATGGGAAGGTGCACAGGGCAAGATTTCATCTCTTTTTAATACTACTAATCTATTTTCAATACTATTAATAGTTAGGGCACAAATTATAGTAATCTTCATGTTGGATGCTTCCTTAATTTGAAGCTGATAAGGTTCAGAATGATTTCGAGTGCCATTGTTTCGTACACATGAATTGCAAACAATCAGGCAATGCAAAATGGCCAGACTGTAGCTTTGTTTGTCAGAGAGAGTCCTCAGGGAGTTCCACCAATAATGAAGGCAGCACCTTTCCAATCCTGCAGTGGTTCTACTTGCTACAGAGTGCAGGCAAGGAAAACTAAGGGACTGACTTGGAAAAAAATATTAAATAGCATGGGCACTGGAACAGAAAGCTCCTTTTTGCCACCTTTCCCTTAGAGCATGTCAGAAGGTTAACCAAATGCTGAACTGAGAAATTATTTTCTATTTCCTATTGCTTGTATATTGGATAATTCAGATACAAAGGCATAGTGATGCCAGCTGTTAAAGTCTTTGCCTTACCTAAAGCCTGGGCAGGAGGAACTTGTGGAAACATGTATGTGCCTGGTAGGATTTGCTATTTAGAAAGACCTAGGCTATTTAGAGAAACCTGAGGCAGTATTTTCTCAAGAAGTGTGGAAAAAATAACTGTATCCCCAAACACTCCAAATAGAGGCAAGTACACTCTGTATTACTGCTTGTTCCAATTCATTGAAGGAAAGGAGTTTTGCTTGCTTTGCTGGCACATCTCACCATGCATTAAGAGTCTTGTTCACCATAAAAGAAAAGAACTAGTATTGTCCTAATTTGTATCAGTACACTAGCAAAGCTTTGTAAAAACCAGATTGGCCTTCTGAGAAAAAAAAAGTGATGTGCAACTACCAAAATCAGCAGAGTTTCACATAAGTCTGTGAAAGATAACTGCCAATTTTCAGAATGTTTTTGAGGAATAACAACCCTATTGTTTACAGAGAGAACAGAAAATACTATTTCTGATTATTTCTACAGTTTGTGCCACATAGACCATGACTGATTGACCATTTCCCCCCAGTCTCAGGTGGTCCTCTTAAAGACTGAAAGTTGAAGGGTTCAGAGTCATTAAATGCTTTTGCCAGCAAGCACTTTGCTTAATCTCAAGCTCTTTACCTACAGCCAAGAGCTGCACTAAGCTGAATTCATCAGCTTTTGCCTCACATGTTAGGAAGTCTGTGAGAGATGTGAGAAAAACTGCAAAGACTGCCTTCCCATGCAGGCCCAAACGTGCCCAACTTACAACTATTTCTCCACACTAGGCATAAGGTAATACCAGTCCTAATGATGATTAACACTAATGTGTTGGTCCCTACAGCTTCTCAGCCCTACTCAGAACTACTGTACTCTGCTTCACAAGGAAATTTGGGGCATCAGATAAGTCAACATTAATGGCTGTTAACTAGAAGCAAACTACAGAAGAGTCTGTCCACAGGTGAGTGCGACATTTTCCTGAAGGAGGACATAAATAAACTGTTTAGCATTATTTGAGCCATACTGAAAAGCTACAATACACTGAAATGCACTGCACCTTTACAAGTGTTTTTCTTAGCAGAAAACCTGCTAAGTTTCCTATTTCTTAAGTACTTCATGACAGGATGCCACATCTTGCTCTAAGTTTGTAGGGTTTTCTATTTGTTTGCACTTTTGTTTTGTAAATAAAATACCAATAAGGAGCTTGGTCCTGTTCTTACAGATGATTTTACTACAAAACGTGTTCCAAGTAAAGCATTGTGTAATGGCAATTTTACAGTTTTCTGTATATGATATCTTGATTTGACTCTCAGTCCTTCATAAATAAAAGCTGAATAATGTGGACAAATACTAGAGGTAGCGACAACAGAAAAGGGCACACTGCTCTTATGAATTACAATAGTCCTGCACTAGAAAGTCTTTTTTAGATATTTAGCATTTATCTTTGGAGCAAAGTTTCTGAGCCAAATTCCTTCTTCAAGATTTCTCTTTTCTTTGAAATTAACAAAATGGAATTTCTTAAAAGTGTTATACAGCCACCTCAATATTACAAGGAGAGATACAAGCTACACAGCACTTGAACTTGCCAGAGAAAGCAAGCTAATTCTAACTGCAAACAATTAAGAATGCTGTACTTTGTATTTCTTGACAGGAACACCACAAATTTCTCTGCAATCCATAACATTTACTGGTGCATGCACAAGTGCCAGTGAAAAGGAACAGTGGTACCTTTCTTCTTGTCCTCAGAACAAATGCTATAGAACAACAGAAAGGTAAATAAAATTCTCAGTCTCAGGTGGCTAATAAGTACATAAGTTATAAGGTCTGTTATTTCCATCTGCAGCTCAGTCCATAAGTGAAAAAATTAAAACTTTGAAGCTAAACAATTTTGTTTAGCACTAACTAGATTCTTAACTATTGGCCAGCCTCACAGTCAGCTGTGGGGCCTCAGCTATTAATTACACTGAAATTGTATTGACATTTCTAATGGCTGTGAGAGCTCAGCAGCTGCCTAAAAATATATATTCACTACTCAAGGAAAAACTGATTTGTATCCTCCAGACACTGCTGTGTAAAACACAGGTGTAGAACACAGTTCCTAAACACAGAGAGACAAGTGTTACCTCCCACTGACAAATCTCTTCTTATCACACTAAGAACCATGATGGACATCCATGACTAGTCCTATTCACTGGTTTGTGTGTCCTGATTTTCCCTACTTGTAAAATCTTATTTACTTCATGTGATTTTCTGCTCTCCTGTCCCATCTTGGCTTTGTAGGATGTGTTTTCCACAGATCAAAACCTGGATGTCAATACACTACAATTCATGGAAGGACACACCAGTTCAGCCATTCTTTTAAGCCTTTGCTCTTCAAAATCTTTTCTTCCCTCTTTTTTTTTTTTGTAATTTCCATCTTTTATAGAGCTGAATTGTGAGAAATTAGTACATATGTATATATACACTC